TCTCAATCGATGAAAATTATTGGCTAATTAAAACCGTCATTATCAACTATTTTTGTAAGTCTGTAAGTCTAATACTACTTAAGACACTATAAAAAATAGAAAGAACTTAGATAGTTTTTGCCTCTTAGGCTCATATTCAAATTGGAGAGGCCAAATTTATAGCTACGAAACAATTAAAAATTGATTAACTGTTTAAATGAGTGGCATTAAATAAGCACAGTAGGAACTGAGAGATGCCACATGAGTGAACACTGAAACATTTGCCATGATTCCTTTCACATGTCTAATCGGAGGTGTTTATTGAACACTGTGATGATTAAAAAGTAAGTGACATATAGCCCCTGCCTTCCATGGGTTTATGAGTTCAAGCGTACACAGTGACTGTAATAGGGATTTACAAAGAAGAACAATTGAGAACTTTTAAAGAGGAGCCACTGTGAACTGTTTGATACTCAGAAAAGTGTTTGAGGGCAATGAGTTTTCTACGGGGGGAAAAAAGCAATAAAAAGCTCGTTCTCTCTCTAGATTCTGATTTTGCTTTATTGTCAATTTGGTAAGAATGGCAGTTCTCTATATTGTCAATAATATCTAAATGATCAGGTCTACTTGCCAGATCTTTTAATGCTGCTTTTGGAAAAGCATGCTCTTGATATAATTGACATGATTTTTCTTTATAAAAATTTTTACTGTAAGTCTGAAAAATTGAGAATGTGGAACAATGGCAAACAGTTCTTCATAGAAAACTCCTTTAAATCATTTGGAACCAGAGGCAAAGCGCCACTCTGGTTGAATTCACTCGGAGTCCTAACAAGATGAGGCAGACGAACTGCTTGGGGCCCCGTGGCAGGAGGCCTTAGCCAGCAGTGTAGTTTGTAGTGTCTTATCAAATAGGGGAGGTTAAGGATTTGCAGAGTTCGAGTGGAAGTAAAAGCATCATTAAAATTGTTTATGGATGAGCAATGAAATGAGTTTGCGAAAACTATGTAAAAGCTATTGATTGTTCACAGCTACCTAAAGCATGACTCCCTAGAACACAACGTCAGCCTATTTCCCCATACATTCCTTTCAAGCCCGAGGAAGGTCAGCCGTCAGTCATAGAAGTTCTACAGCAATGGGATGTTAACTCTGGAAAATGATGACATTCATTTTTCTCTTTCTTTAATGGAATTGTAAGTTTCATATCAGCATATTTCATTAAGACACCAAACAGATTTAAAGAATGTGCTATATTTCCAGGCCTGTTATAAGCTGCCATTCCAAACAAAATATGTATAACTTCTACGATTCACTAAACACAAGTATGTAGTAATATGCCCTTTAATGGCCTCTCAAAATGACAGACCAAATGGCTTTGTGAAGGTCAAGTCTGATTTAAATTGTTGATGAATTAATAGCTAATTCTGCATGATTGAATATTAATATGGAACAGTGATAAGTAAGGCACTTTAAAGCTTAATGAGCACATTAATGAATAGGACAAAATGTTTTTTTCTCCCCTCATGTACAAGTTTAAAGCCACTAACATATTGACAATTTGTTAATTTTTGATGGCCACTTTTTCCTGTAAAAGCTTATATGGTTATGGTATAAAGGGTATTGATTTTTTTCCCCCAAGTTCCTGGTACCAAGCATTTGATGAGCTGTCAAAATTGATATCATCAAATGGCCAAGGGAGTTTTATATAAATCACTAATAAATGTAGAGGGTGAAAAAAAGCAATTAACATCTTCTAAACTACACCCACTGAGATAAGCATTCCAATTAGAAATTTCATTATTTCCACAGTTTGTTTTATGTTGAATACTGAGTTTTATTGCCAAATACCTGACAGTCAAATTGGAAAGAAGCCACAACTGTCAACATGTAACTGCCCCAGCTATTTGAATCTGTTATAAGTGTGATGTTTCTCATGAAAATTTAATGAAGAAAGTGCATTCAAAGAGGTTCTGTGCAAAGGGGGAAGGATAGAATTTAATTACCCTTATTAAAAATAAGAAAGCAGCACTCTTTACATTCTCTATCTAATTAGTATGCAAGAAAGATTATCTTTGTTGTGCACTTGTGTATATGAAAAAGGGCTCTGGAGTGTTCCTTATGAGCCAGGAAGGAAAAGAAAGGGCATGCAGTTGTATTAGCCTGCCTTCCATAGGGCACAAGTCAGTTTTGTCAGCTCTCCCCAAGTGAGGACTTCATTTCTCATAAGTGGTTATTAATTCTAGGGGTTTTTTTGGTAAGAGTCTTTAGTAAGTGGCTTACCTAACTTAAGTCTTTGACACTTGCCACTGATGGGCACAGAATATTGGCTTGGTTCTTTAGAGAGATGAACAGGTAGAGGAAAAGTAATGATTAGTAGAGCTACATAGCATGCATACAAATGGGACTGGTAGTTAATCACCAAGCAGAGGTAAGACGCCCTGGGAAATACAAGGACAGCTCAGGAATCCCAACCTGATTCTTATTAACCTAAATCAGTTGTTTCAAATATGGAAAATTACAACAAAATCTAAGAACTTTGTTAGGAACTCATCGGTAGGTGATGAAGGCAGGGGAGTTGAGTTTGGAACACTTGAGGTAAATTATTTTTATCCTTTGAATCATTTTGTGTTGATAGCTGCCAAATGAGATGTTTAATAGGATAATATGTGTGGTACAACAGCTATTGATCTTTTGCCTTTTTTTTCCCCTCAAAATAACGAAAGAACTATGTTATAGATGTAAAAACATTGACAAAACCATTAAAGCCTTAAAGAATAGTTTGATGAAATAGTGGAATAGAGTAAAATTAGCATAGCCTGATTTGCAAAATACTCTTTATTCAATTTGTGAGTTGCAGCATTTCCTTGGGGCCCTGAAAAATCATCTTGAGATTTCATTCTTAACCACTGTTTCTGACGCTTGTCCACTGTAGACCTCTGCTCAGCTGACAATGTGTAAGCATTCATATAAACAGAATGCATTATGCTTCCTCAGGAGAGCCTTGTCTTTCAACCAAGTAAAATGTAGCTCTTTGAAGTTAACTAATTTTATAAATTTTTTAATCTCTAGCCCTAACTAGCTGGTGGGATAGTAAAATATTCTCTAGGGAATTCAGCTGTCAACCCAGATTGCCTCAGCTACTTCTTTTGGTCAATCATGAATCTCAGTTTACCAGAATCTCTACTTTTTTGTATTAGACCCTCAACTTTTTCTTAGAATAACCTGGACTGTGTGTTCAGGGCACCTTCTCTTTCTTGGGAGTTTTATTCTTTGGTAGTATTTTGAGATTTTTTTTCACTATTCACATTCAAGAATCTTACTACTCCTTAACTATTCCTCTGATCAACTCTCTACCAGAAATGCTTTCCTACTATGTATAGTAGAAAAACTTCTTTTAATCGCTGGGATGTATTCATACTTAGTTTTGGAAATAATAGAGGTTCTCCTACAATCTACCAATCCAGACTAACTTGATCAATACAAATGAGATCAGAATAACTCATGATATAGAGGGATAAACTAATGCTAATTAAAAAGTGCAAGACAGATATAGGTGCTCACTGCTATGGTAGCTCTAAGGAGGAAAAGATTAAATACATTTGAGAGAGTTTCAACAGGCTTTACAAAGAAGGTGATTTTTGGCTGTAGGAAATGGTGAAAATTTCAGTGTGGGCCTAAAAACTTCCTATGACAGAAATTGGGGCCTGATTTCAAAGAACTTTGCTGGTCAGATTTAGGAGATTGAGTTTACCCCAAAGTTATAGAGGGGAGATGATGGAGAACACATAGGTTTGACTGAACATAGTAGAGGCATCATAAATTCCCTAGAAATTGTGACTGACTTAACTTTGGCAAGATTCACAGGACCATACCAGAAATTGTAGAAGGCATCCAAGGAGAAGCCTTCACATCTGATGATTTCTAATGTTCTACTCACCGGTGTTTGTGCTTTTGAGTCATTTTGGAATTGTGGCTCATGAAAATTCATCAGAAATCACCAGGGATTGTTGATTAAATTAACATCAGGCCTAATTGGAAGTCAAAATGTTTTAAAATGGTCTTCAAACAAACAGTCAAGTTGTAATTTAGAAATTATCACCAATATAACTAGGTTCCCTTCAATGACTGAGTAGAATCTACCTTTCTTTTATTTTATTTAATCTTTATTGTATTTTTTTTCCATTACCATTTAGTCCCTTTCTACCCCTTTCTAATGCCAACTGGAGGAGCTGGCAATGTGGGTTATGGATGTGGGTCATGTTTGGGGATTTCAGAGGACTTTATTTTCTCAAGATCTAAGATACAGGACAGTTTTGATGTGGGATATGGAGAAGTGAACCGCAGATTAATTGAAGATTAAATTTTGGAAACTTCAAGTTTTTAATGACCAAAAATGTTGCAGACCTTTTGAATGGGGAAAAGTATTTTCTTACACGAAGGTGTTGCTTTTTTGAGTTGGTTTTGTTCTTTTTTCCTTTGGAAATGGAAACTCAGGTAATTTTCTGATTAATTGAAATTTCCTACAAAAGAATTCATTTAGGTTGAACATCATGCTTATGAAAAAATATATATAGTTTACTTGAAAGTTACAAAAAAAATATCAGAATTGAACACAGATGAGTTCGGCTAGCTAACCTGTTTTTCATGTACCTGCTAAGCTAGGATCTCAGAGTTTTCCCTCAACAAAAGTTTCCTGTCTTAATGCCTATATTTGTCATGATCCCATCTTCCTGGCCAACTTAACTCGTTCCTAGAGTCCTTGGTGCAACCTTTCAGCCTGTTCTTTATCACACGTGTCTGAGTTCTCTGCTAGGCTGTTGGCCTCTTAACTTAGGCTGTGTACTCTTCTGGCCAGGAACAACATTGTGACTGTATCCTAATCTAATAATGCCATACTGCCTGGTTTGTATTACCTTTTCAACAAATGCTGAATATGGTAAAGTGAAAAAATCACTAGGCCATATCTCTTTAATTTTGGGCATCTGACTTGTTAACATAACGACATACCAACTTTTGTCTTGCAGAGGATCAAATTCCCAGGGGCTTCCCTACCATTGACATGGGCCCACAGTTGAAGGTGGTTGAGCGTACACGCACTGCCACCATGCTTTGTGCAGCCAGTGGGAATCCGGATCCAGAAATCACTTGGTTTAAAGATTTCTTACCTGTGGACACAAGCAACAACAATGGCCGTATTAAGCAGTTACGATCAGGTAGGGTCTTGTTACTGTTTCCACTAACTCCTAGTGATTTGTTTTTGCTTTTGTTTTAGTTTTTAGCTTTCTCTCTATTTTTTATTTAATTTTATTTATTTTTAATTTTTAGGTATCGATTTTTCTCCCTCTTCTCTTTCTCTGTTATTTAATGTGTTGTCCATGTTTGTGATGTCATAGCCTATTTCAGAGTCCGTTTTTCTCCTGTGTGTGTTTTGCAGCTTCTGTTTAATCCACATTGCTCACTGCTGTGACTGTATTTTTGACAATTTTTTTTAATTTACTGCTTTTCTGCAGTATTTGATGGATCCATTTTCTCTTTCTTTCTTCTTTCACTGTTTTCTTTTGAAAGAAATTTATTTCAACATTGGACTTCATTCAGAACTTGCAAGGAGTTCCAATGGTTATATCCATTAAAACCCAGAATGTTCATATGAAACACTAAAATGATTCAATTTTATTAACGTGTGTTTTCTGTCGTTTCTGCATTTGAACTCATCAAAATACCAAAGTTTAGTAAGTTTGTTCACATCTACTTTCTTTTCACTAATACATAAAACACAAAAATGTTATCTCATGAGTAACCAGATTTTTTCTTTGTCTTTTACAAAGTACCAATGAAAGGAGGGGATTTTTAAAATTAATGTGATTACTGTGAGTGAGCATTTGTACACATTAGCCACAGTAGTGTGCGCCCACACTGAAAATTTGTGAACCCTCCAGTGACTGGATCTACAGAAGCCTGCTTTTGGTGTAGACTCCAGCTTTTGCCGCTTTCTCTCTCTCTTTCTCCCTGTTGCCTTTTTCTCCCTCTCCCATCCCTATCTCAAATTTATTCCTGTGTTCTCTTTAGATTAAAGATAGAGATGATTCTAAATTTCTTAAATTGTAGAGCCTGTCCCTAGGTAATTGCTCAGGGACATTTGCTAATAAACGGTTTATTTTGACATTGGTAGTAATATTGATATAGAATTCTAAGCTGTTTAACTGCCTGTCTTCCCAGAATCTCAGCTTTTGACCTGTCCTGTGATGTTAAAGCGTCTTGTTAACTGCCTCTTTTTGCTTGTTGTCAGCAGAATTGTGTAGATTAGCCTTCTGTTATTGTAAATAAAGAATTAATTATTCACATGTAACATAGATGATTTAGTATATAAAGCTTTAACTCTGAAAAATTTGTACCAAATTATGAGGAATATAATAATATTTTTATGCTGTCTTTCTTCTCTCCGTATTTAAATCTCCAGAATCTATTGGTAAGTGCTTAGTTCTGAAGCGCACTTCACCCCCACTAATTTCCATATTCAGACTATTATATTATTATTATTATTATTAATAAAATGCATGGCATGCATTTTACTAACTGTCAGTGTAGACACCAGATCTCCGTAGTGGCACGCACACACACACATCCTCAGAACTGTTTTCGTAAGAACACTGTATAGAAAACCAAAATAGTACACAAGTTAGATCACACAAATGTAGCATAGTAAGTAGTATAAGATGTCCAATCGAGTGTTTGTATTTAGTTAGTCTTTAATATTTCCTATGACAGTATATATATATATATATATGTGTGTGTGTATCTATATATATACTTAAATAGATTAGCCAGTATTTTCTAAATTGTCTTTAAAAAATATTGTTTAGTCCATTTTATTTTTTTTTAAGAATATGAGGCATATAAGATAAATTCTAACCCTATGTGACCCCAGACCTAAGAACCCAGTTGCTGCTCTGAGAAAGGCAACGCTGCCTGTTGTGGTCTTTGCCCTCTGTGGTATAATGCAACTTGCTTTTATGATCTAATAATACTATCTAATATATTCCTGTTTTACCAGTATAGTAATTCAAGTTTCTTTTAAGACCTTATTTAATTCTGTAAATCTAATTTAATTCTTCTCCCCAGCCCTAGCCTCCTTCTTCTCGTACTAATGCTTCTTCTTTCTAATCTTATTTGCATTCATATTATCCACCCAGGTGGTACACCAATAAGAGGTAAGAGTGCTGAACTAACGTTCACAGAATGATCTTACTCATTCTTCCTGTCCTCTCATCACTGTCATCTTTGTCCTGTTTTCAGAATCATTCCAATAATGTCCACCAGCTTTATTTTTTTTTCCTTTGTACCATTTGGTTATGATTGGTGACTCTCATATCGTGAATTTTCCTTTCCTTTTTCTTTTTCTCTTTGTTTTGTTCATTTCTTTCTTTATGAAAATGATTATTTCAGTTGTGATATGCTTCAAAGAAAGCATATCCAGGTCTTTAGACCACAGACCAGTCACAGCGTACCATCTGTCCCTCTTTTTTTCCTTTTCTTCTTCCTTTTTCCTTCTTTTTTCTTTTTTTTTTTTCTTCTTTTTCCTTTTTTTTTTTCTTGTCCAACCGGAGAAAAAAAGATCATTTTTTTCTTCCTTAGCTGTTCTTGTTCTGGACCAAAGCCAAGATGGTCTGGAGAACAGTGCCAGACATGCAGAAGACAGCCTGGAACGTCTGCTTTTTGTCTTTATCTTTCAAAAGGTTTTTGCTTTTGTTCTTCAATTCTTTTTTCTCTTAATGTCTTAAAAGTCAAAGATTGACTCCCCTTTCCACCTGATCCCACTCGCCTACAACCTGACAGCAATGCTTTTTTCCCCCCCACTTCTTTTTTTCTTGGATTACTCGCCTCTGGATTTTTGGATCTTCTGTCCTTCAGGCTATGGAAACAAAAGGTGCTCAGTATTCTTGGTGGTATGTTGTATTGCTGGTTTTTCATACTTTGACTCAGTGTTCGTTTCTTGTATAATTCTTGTTTTGCATTTTTCTTGGGGTTTTGTGACACCACACTGCTAATCCCACTGGTGGATTTTGACGGGTGTCTTAGGGGATCCGTCTGGAGGCCCTGGAGCAGCGGGTGGCTGGCTCTTCTCGCTCGCACAGGCCGTGCTTTTTAACTTTTTTTAAAACCTTCTAATTCAACTACTCTTTGTTTTTCAGCAAATGTAATAAATGATTGTAAGTCGTGGCAAACTGTCTCTCTTTTCTTAAAAATCTGCATGTCTTAAGGGCGTTTTGTTTCTTTAAGTAACATTTTCATGATATATAATGACTAATTTTAATTTTTTTTGCTTTGTGCAGCCTTTTTGTGTTAGCTGCGTATTTTTGGCTTTCTTCAGCAGAAGACTTTCTTGAAAACCCGGCCTGGTTTTTTTTGAGCATACCTATCTTTTGCGCCACTTTTGATACCAAAATGAAACAAAACAAAACCAAAAATTAATCTTTTGTTTTATTTAAAAGCCATACTTCCTTGAAGCAGTCTCACCCATCTTCATTTAATTAGTCTAGGAAATAAGAGTGTTTAATTATGACTAGAATTCTTGCTTGGGAAAAGAGATATTGTTTTCTTATGCTAGCATTGATGATGTAAAAAAAAATAATCTCTATATGTTTTTCTCATCGCATCATTTTCTGTCTGTGCACCTTAGCAAGAGATTGAATCGACGTTGAGCGGACCTTCGCTTTGCAGGGCTTTTCATGTTGTTAAGAGGTTTAGTTTTCTGGACTGAGAAAGCCTTCTCTGACCACCTCTTTGGCAATATATTTTATATCCATACAGGCGCCCTTCAGATCGAACAGAGTGAAGAATCTGACCAAGGAAAATATGAGTGTGTTGCCACCAACAGCGCGGGCACTCGCTATTCTGCCCCTGCCAATTTATATGTCAGAGGTAGGAATGACATAACCCTGGCATCGCTTCTTCATTCAGGCTCAGGGAGAGTTGAGACACCCCAGCATCTGTGTTATTCTGTCAGTATTTAACAAGCTGATTTGCCAATAGTTGCAGTAGCTCAAGCATTTTAGCGAATAGACGATTAAAAAGCGTAAATATGCCGTTTAAAAAAATTGACCACTTTCAAATAAAATCTATCCTGAGGCTTGAAGTTTGTAAGTATCTGTGCATTTTTACATCTTGATTTCTGTTTTTACTGCATCGGTTGAACTGTGCTTTGCATTTGTTTGAGGTTTTCTCCTTCTTTTCCTTCTTCCTTTTCTGTTGCTGTTTCTCTTCTGTTTCCTTTTTAAACTCTGAAATAATTACTTGGTGTGCTACTAATCAATTCCCTGTGCAACTCCAAGCATAAAGGTGTTTATGTCCTCAGGACCTCTGCTGTGGAGCTGTAAGGATAAAGCTTCTCACTTAAAAAAAAAAAGGTGCTACATGCAAATCGCACAATTGTATTCTCTTCTTTCTTTTATGCTTTCATATTTATAAACACATGTTATTATGTATGTGCATTTATATATGAATATATACACACATTTTTTAAATTACTGACTCTCAAAAGTTTAATCTTTTTAATAACATGGAACGCTGATCATATTTTCAAAAATATTCGTTGTTTTGGGGACAAGAATGAATGAGGATACCTTCATATTTTCTTATAGTAATAGAAATGATTAAATTTTGAGCTCATGAAGGCTATGCTTTTCATTTCAACTAGAAAGAAGTATTCCTTCTTCACTGGAGTTTTCAAAGCTGGTTCCTGTAGTTTGTTTGTTGTTTTTTTTCAGTCCAGTAAAAGTGCTCTTATCCCAGGTCTAGTCTGCGAATAACCACATAAGGCATGGGTGGGGGTGGGAAGAGATAAAAGACTGAGAGGGCTTTAAGTTACAATAGAATGGGTTCCCTTAGGGAAATATCTAGCTTGATTTTGAAATTTTTGTTTGAGATAATGTTGTTTTGATGGGATTGTTTTTTTCTCCTATGGCTCTCTGGCATCTGGGATGGGAGAGTATGAAGAAAGCCATTTCTTCTCCAAATTCTCTGAGAGCCCCTTGACCCTTTACCTCACAGTGGCGACCTCCTTTGCTGCATGAGGCATGTGTACCTTCTTCGATGGAAAAATTTCAAAATGATGCTAGCTATTGATTCTAATACCGTATTAGCCTGTGAGGTGTTACTAACTTTTCAGCTGAGGTAGGAAGGATTAACTAGAGCAAATAAAAATGTTCAAATAGCAGTTGAAAGCCTTGATATGGCCTTTTTACTCTCTCTGTGTTTCCCTTGTTTTTCTCCTTTCCTCATTTCATTGTGTTCTGCATCAAACCCCCTACATCCCTCAGAGCTGCGAGAAGGTTGGTGTGTTTTTTACTTTTTTACCCACCTTACAAAACTATTAATTAAACCAATAACAAAGAATACAAATGAAATGAATGTAGCTGCATTGTGGTCTTCTTTTGGTTAATGGTATGTTTCAGCAGAGAATGCCGAGGCTATGGCTTCCAGTGCTTGCTGGTGGTATCTAACAGTGGTGCATGATGGGAGAGAATGTCCTTGGGTGCATGGTAACTGGTCACACATTACTCTCAGGTCCGGTGAACTTGGGTCAGTGTTCCTGCTTTCCTTCCTGCTCCACTCCTCCCAACCCCCACCCCACCTTTAATTTCTGTCTCACAAGGATGCCTGCTGCCCACAGAATGACTTTTTGTAGTTGTCCCCCTAATCCCAAGCATGAAGACTAAACTGTCCTCCATTTTTCTTGATATGTTGTTTGACACCTCGGAGTCTCCACTGACTCCTGCTTGCTCTGTGTAACCTGTGAACTGGCTGCAGGAGGCATGCTTAGCTCTCTCGTTACTTCTCCTACGCCTGCCATTCACCTGTGAGGCCATCGCAGCGAACCCTCTCCAATCCATGGAGGTTTACCTCAACCTTAAGTGCAGCCAAAAAGTTGACAGACAGAATTATTTACTCATTATCTTCCTGGGGTTATGAGGTGGTTTGTGTATTATTTGATTTATGATTTAAAAAATCACTTTCTTATCTGTATTTAAGCTATGCTCCTAATGATTACCTCCTGATCTAAAGTACTCAGGGTGTAAGGTTTTGCCAATAAAAACCCAAGATGAAACATGTGTCTCTTACCCTCTCCTTGTATCATGTACTTAAACTTGACACATAAACATACAGATTACCTGAAGCAGGAACACTGAACTGTAATTGCTTGGTAATTTTTTTGTGTCATGGTGTTTCAATATGACCTCTTTTATTAATGTCATGTGCCACTGTATGTTTTAGATGCAGGGCCCCTCATTTTGAATGTAGGCGCAAAACGCCTCCTACTACATTTTGTTGTCATCATCTATGTTGTCTTACATTAGATATGAACTGAATGGAATCCTGAATGTGAAATACCCAGCTCCCTTTCTAAATTTGCAATCCTTACCGTGACAACCTAGCTTAATCTAATATCTTCCTACTTACATCCTATCATCCCCTATATTTGCGTCTCAATCACTGTACTTTACATCCTGCCTTTGTGTTTAGTTCTATTACCCTGTTAACTTCTTCTGCTGTCACTGTTGTCTTGGATTCCAGACATTTTCCCAGTGTCCGAAGCACGGGCCTTGAGACTTCATCTTGTGCATGCCTTGCATGACCCAGTTTGGTACCTCTACTGGCATTGGCTCTATTTCCTCTGTGACTGTGAATCAATATGTTTATATATTTCTGTGTTTGGTCCAGTGTTAGTGAGAGGTCTTGAGGCTGCTTTCTGAGTCTGAAAGCAAATAAGTTGTACTTCCACTGTACTCTAGATGACATTTTCCGGGCCTTGGATGTAACAGTGTGTTCCACACGTACATCCACAGCAACTGGAAGTACACAGCACGAAAGTTGGTTTTCATACCCAACTTAAACCTGCTGGTGATCTTCCAGTCTCCCTTTTCACATATACATGAATGCATAGAATCATTGTGATATGCATGTATGTATATGTTTTGTGTTTATCTTATGCATGATGTTTGTGTATTTTAGTTTGTAGATAGTTTCTTTGTGGGGCCCTTATAGGTCTGAATCAACTTTTGTATGAATGTGTCTAAGATATCAATGACCAAACTAAGTAATTTCTTTGTGTGTATACACATACCATACTCGTTTGGTCTGTATTATCCGCAGTTTTTCTTTGTTTTGTTTTTGGACAATCCACAATACGTTCCAGTTGTTTAATTTTGTCTGTACAGTGCATGTCATGTGTTTAACAAGCCGTTTTTCTGGCCTTGTATATTTTATCATCTTCCCTTGTGTTTTGTTCCAGTTCGTCGTGTCCCACCAAGATTCTCTATCCCACCCACTAATCATGAAATCATGCCAGGTGGAAGTGTTAATATCACCTGTGTGGCTGTGGGGTCACCAATGCCTTATGTGAAGTGGATGTTGGGGGCAGAAGACCTGACACCTGAAGATGATATGCCAATAGGAAGAAATGTCCTAGAACTGAATGATGTAAGACAGTCAGCAAATTACACCTGTGTTGCGATGTCAACACTTGGTGTCATTGAAGCAATAGCACAGATCACTGTCAAAGGTATGCTCAGCAGTTCATGCTTTAAGGGTCTGGCTACCCTCAAGTCACGTGACTAATGCCTCTATAAAGTCTATCCAAGGAATCCCAAAGTGAATCTGTTCATTGTTTACTGTTTTAGATATCATAGTCTAATCAGTCTATTGTATCACGTAAGATACACATGTCTATGTAGGCAGTTTCTCTCTCAAAAGTATTGGCAGCCTAAGAAGTAATAATCATCAAACTGTTTAACAACACGCTGGGCCCAGGAATTAACCCAGCAGAAGGAGGAATGCTAGACATGATCAACAGTTACGGAAGGACTGAAGCATACAAGTTTCATTTTAATCTTATCAGAACTCTGATAAGAGTCACATGATAGAAAAATCCAAATAAGTTTTACTAAATGTTGAAAACCCTGAAGACCAACAGAAAAGAAGAAAGTTGTACTTAACGTGGTTAAATAATAGATCCTTTACGAGTTTTTAATGAACCCTATAAAAATCAAAATGCAAGTGGATGTATATTCTTTTAGCTTTATCTTTTCAGCTTGTATTGATGAACTGCTCAAGAAATATTATGCTCTTGAAATAAATGAACTAAATATAACCTAAGTACTATGTTCAGCAGATATTTTTGAATTAAAGAAAGAAAAAAGTGACTATGTAAAGTGTATTGTTTTTACCCAGAGCTTATAGATTTCAAGAACACTTTTGCAAAACAGGTCAGACTGAAGATGACTTGAGGTTTCTGCAAATATATGGAACTATTGCAAAATGAACACAAATTGTCTTCCCTTTCTAGAAAGTTTGATCCTAAGAATTGCAAAATGCATTGCTGTTGCCAGTGCCCTATTTCCAACCAAGCATATATATCAAATATGCCTTATAAAATCAATCATCTGATGAGAGAACAAAGGTGCACACCATTGGTAACATTTAACCATTTAAAATAATAACATTATATTGCATATTCTTAACTGTATTAAACATACTTATCCATACATTACAGACACAAACCCTATACTGCACAATAAATGTGACTTAGCAATACTTTTACTTGCTTTAAAATTCAGAAAGAAATCTAGGGAAAAATATGTATTATCTACTTTCTTGGAAAATGTCAGGCCAGATTATGTTTAAATAAATACCTTTTAAAATTATTTTTAGTAAAATCCCTTGGCCAGATGTTTTTGTTCTATAGTTCTTAGAGTAATATGCAAATAGTGAATCACCTTTCTCATAATAAACATTTCAACTTTAAATATTTGAATATTACTGAAAACCTTTAGAAATTCAAAAGCAGGAGCCACATTCAACTAGTACCTTGTTTGACTTCTTATCTTTATTTTCCTGGCTCTTGCTATTTCCCTATCTTCTTCACCTCAGAAATAAATAAAATGTAAGGGTTACTCTTGAAGGCAAAAAGTGAACCAACACAAAAACAGCAGCTTGAAGAGAATGAGGCAAATGGTTACTAACTCATTTGTTCAGTTAGTCATTTAACAATAAACGAAAAACCTACTTACTGCTAGGCAGCGTTCTGGGTACTGGGGATCCAGCAGTTACCAAGTACAAGTTTGCTGCTCTTGAAAAGCTGTCATTCTAGGGAGTACTGTACTTTTTGCTTTTATATCAACAAGGAAAAGGGGGTACTAAAGGGCCAATTTATGAGTATTACCTTCTGAGTTTTCTCCAAAAAGTTGGTGGGGTGGTTCTCCCTTGATAACTCTACCTTGGAGAATCATTGACCAGGGTAAGGCACTTAAGTATGAGGTCACCAGTGTAGGTGGTTTGTAGTCTTACTTGGTAGCATTTTGAGTTGTATTCCTCTGCTTAGAGGAAAAAAAAAATGGATCTCTAAAAGATGGATTTAATTACAAAAATTGGTAGCTATAATCTTAGGCATTACTGATGGTGAATATCAAATACATACTATTACAATAATACTTTATTTTTTATTGAATTTATTTTTTATTGACATTGGTTAAAAAAATTATATAGGTTTCAGGTGTACAGTTCTATAATACATCATATGTATATTGCATTGTGTGTTTTCCACACCAAGTCAAGTCTCCTCCATCACCGCTTATCCCCGTTTACCCTCTACCTCCACCCACTCTCCTTTCCCTCTGGTAATCACTACACTGGTGTCTACGAGATTTCTTTTGTTGCTTAACTCCTTTATCTTTTCTTACAGTAATACTTTAACAAGTGATTTGTGAATATATTTTAATTTAGATTCTTCAGCATTTTTTAACATAAAGTAATATATTCAAAATATATTCAATATCTTATTTTCAACATTTATTGGTATTTAGTTATATCATTTATATCTTAAAGCAGCTGTCTAATTGGCCAAGCTTATAATAATAGTAATAATTGCAAATAATGTTTTTTGAGGGTGCCAGATACATGCTAAGAGCATTACTGGATTAGGTCATTAATCATCAGAGCAAATTCATGAAATAGAGTTACCCAACTGTACAATTCCAATCGTACAGTTTTTCTCATTTTTCACATGAGAAAACTAAAGCAGAGAGAGGTTAGGCAGCACATTCAGGATCACGTAGCTAATAAGGGGCGGATTCGGATACAAGCCTGAAAGTACAATGCTATGATGCACTTCTAGTAAAATGGGATTTGTCATGTACGCATGTCTTAGTATACTTCCCTGACCATTTAGAACACTATTCTTTGCTATAATTCATCTAATTAAATGTTTCGTAGGTATGTGAATCTGTCATTTCAATAGTAGAGTTTATGGATTCTTACAACTTCTTAGAGGTCATGGGAAGTGACTATCTTTTTTTCCCCTCCTCTCCAAGCCTTACCCAAACCTCCAGGGACCCCTGTGGTGACCGAGAGCACAGCCACAAGCATCACACTGACGTGGGACTCTGGGAACCCTGAGCCTGTCTCTTACTATATCATTCAGCATAAACCTAAAAATTCTGAGGAACCTTACAAAGAAATCGATGGGGTAGCGACCACACGCTACAGTGTCGCTGGACTAAGTCCCTACTCAGATTATGAATTCAGGGTTGTTGCCGTCAATAACATTGGGCGTGGGCCTCCGAGTGAGCCCGTGCTAACACAGACCTCAGAGCAAGCGCCATCCAGTGCCCCACGGGACGTCCAAGCGCGGATGTTGAGTTCAACCACCATTCTGGTGCAGTGGAAGGAACCTGAGGAGCCAAATGGACAGATCCAAGGTTACAGAGTTTATTATACAATGGATCCCACTCAGCATGTCAACAATTGGATGAAACACAATGTAGCTGACAGCCAAATCACTACGATTGGCAACTTAGTGCCCCAGAAAACGTATTCTGTCAAAGTCCTGGCTTTTACATCAATTGGAGATGGTCCTCTTTCAAGTGACATACAAGTGATCACTCAGACGGGGGGTAAGTCTAGGTGTGGATGGGGAGGGCGGCAGGAGGGAGGAGTTGATGCTAACAGGTGGGAGAGGAAAAAACGAAGGACAAAGATGTTGTACATTTTAATTTCTGAGACTCAGAGTTTCTAAGTGGGAGGGTGCATATGAGGCACCTGGAAAGGAAATAGGTGTGGACAACTGAAAGACTAAATAATCGTTTTAAGTACAAGGATACATATAGCATCCTTTTCATTTGTACCCAAATGACTTGAAGACTTTCCTGTAAGATATGGATGAATGCATCCTCCATCCAGCATTTTGAAAATAAAAGAACCATTCTTTTTCATATGCTGACAGAATAGTCTCAGAAACTTTAATTTATGAGAGATTGTATTGTTCAACATAAAGTTGAAAATGAAACCATCTGTCAGGGCCTTGGATATTTAAATAGCTTATATTTTCCAGGAATCTACTTGCTTAAAAATAAATATTCTCCTAATGGATTTTTGATAATTTTTTTTTGTATGGCCTCAGGGGTGAAGGAAAGCAGTTACCAAGGTCTAAGATCAAACGTTAGGGCCCGATTCATTCATTTTCCTGGGTATTAAAACAAATGCCAAACTATTTTATGAAGAAAAAGTTGGCACTGCCAGTTGTTTTATTTTTATAAGAGGATACCAAACCTTTCTGGTGCTTGATTTGAAGTGATCAGTTTTGACTTGGGTTGGGAATATAACATGGCAGCTTTCTTCTACAGTTTATTCCTGAACATCTGAGAGCTATTCATTTGACTCCTTATAGCCTTGGCTCCTCTAAAATTTTCATTAATCTAGGAGTGTTTTGGAAGCATGCCACTGGTTTGTTCTGATAATTTACATAAGAACCATATATTATGGGAGTTAGTATCTGTAATCTAGAGGTATGTAACTCATTGATAATCTTGGGCATGAACTAGTGAATTTCCTCAGGTATCAGAACTCGATAAACCTGTTTAATCACTGACTTGTTTTCATGTTATGGGCCTTGTAAATCACTTGACTGTGTTACCATTTGCCCTTGCTACTAGAAACCTCAGAACGTATTTTACAGCCTCAGGGGCTTTATTGTATTTTCATACCATTATTTGGTTTTTACTGGTTTGTTTATGGATTCACAATTTTCTTGAATGGTATGAAAGATAATTATAAAAATAACTGGCCACAATTGCACTAAAACCATCCGTGTTTTCCTTACTTGGCTTTTGCAGTTCTTCTGCATTTATTTGCTATATTAATATGCAGAAATATACTGTAGATTTTTAATACATTTTAATTTTTATATGTTTCTCATTGGAAAATACAGAAATCTGTGAATCTTTTTTTTTCTTTGATTGAAAGTGGTCATCTATTATCAGATTATTTTTTATTACACTATTTTAGCAGCTCCAAGACCATTAAAAGATACAAAATAGAATATGAGAAGAATATATCCCTATAATCCACTTCTAGTTTTTCTGATTTCTCAGCTGTATTTTATTTTATTTTTGTGTGCATGTTGAATAAGTCATATTGTTGATGTCTTTTTTATTTTTAAATACATTTGTCTCTATTTTCCCACCACCACTTTCCCCTGCTCCACCCACCCCCAGTTCCCACCCTTGATCCTTCCCCGCTTTGGCTTTGTCCATCAGCTGTATCATTTTTTAAAACCCTGGCCTTGGAGTAATATAATCAGGGACTGAATCCCAGGCTGTGATTTTGAAGCTTGGACAAGTTATTTCATCTCTCTGACCTTTAGTTTTCTCATCTGAAATAATAACCACTTCATAGAGATTAGGGATTTTGTTCGTTTTATTGTGCTGCTGTAACAAATTGCCATGCACTGGTGGCTTAAACCACAGACACTTACTGCCTGTCTGTTCTTGTGGCTAAAAGTCCAATATCAAGGTGCCAGCAGAACTGATTCCCTGTGAGAGCGGCAAGGGAGGCTGGCAATCTTGGCTGTTCCTTGGATGTCGAAGTATCACCCTGACCTTTGCCTTCACTGACATATGTCACTCTCTCTGGGTGAACGTCTGTGCCCAGATTTTCCCTTTTTATAAGGATACCAGTCATAGTGGATTAGGGCCAAACTAATGACCTGATTTTAACGAATGAACTCCACAACAACCCTGTTCCCAAACAAGGTAACATTCTGAGGCTCTGGGTTTGGGGATTCAATATGAATTTTTGTGGGACACATTTAAACCCCTAACAGAGCTATAGATTAGACAATAGATGGAAACATTTTATAACTTAATAAGTAATATAAATTATCATTATAATCATAACAGCTAAAATATGCTGGGCACTCTGCTGTGAACTTTGCATGTATTCTTACCACCAGATAGGTATATGTGGAATTATCCTGTTTTCCAATGGGTAAATTGGGGATCAAAGAAAATAAAAAGATTTAGGAACTTGCTTTGGGTCATATGGTTAGTAAATGGCAAAGCAGAATTTAAATCTTGGCACCCTAGGTACTTCTGAACACCATTATCCCTCCAAGTAATCATTTGCTAATATGATAGTTTTAGTGCCTCCTAGGCTTTTGTGCCCACGAGTTGTTCAATAAATGAATAGAGATAGGAAATACTGTGTAGTCTTTTATTCATACTTTTATTTAAGGATTATATATAATTTATTTCTCCAATACTTGAGGTGCCTATTATATTATCCAAGTACAAAAGTGTGTTAAGCTATTTAGATATGAAAAATAAGTTTATCTGAAACAAGTAGAAGGGAACACCTTTTTTATAGAAGGTTTTTAATCATTAAATTTGGTTCTAACTTTTCTAACCACAGATTTAAACATAGAAACCTATAATGTTTTATAACCTCTTTTCTGCTCGCAAGAGGGTTTAGCCATCTAAGAAACCAAATAGTTTCTGGATATAAACTCAACTAAAACAGAAGAATCCTTGGGAGTCATGAGAATCCTTATATTCAGAAAACAGAATAACAGACATTAATGCCTTCAGTTACAGTTTATTGAAAGATATAGAACTGATGTTTAAATAGGCCTTTTTTGATTTTCTGTATTACCAGCAGACATAATGTAACATAAATCATAACTCAGTGAAGGTAGTATTATGACAGGGGCAATTGAATTAATGTAATCTAGGGATTCTGAACTTAGAAAAATCTAAATGAATGGGTCACAAGTGTATTGGAATAGTTGTCCCCAGTCTCTTTTAGACATTTTATACATTGAAATATTTCCAAGAACCTTCCAGAATAGTTGCACTTTTAATACTCATTGATTGAAAAGATATATGATGACATAAAGACTTGTGCCTGCCAAGATCAATAGGCGAAAAAAATCTACCAAAATAGCACAATGATTTGATGGGTTCTGTAGGCTTAATTAACAAAGGCCATTTGATGTTAGTGGATAACTGCCAAACACAATGATGTGAGATCTTGATATAATTAATGCTGAGCTGCTCCTTTTTCTTCTTGCTGACTAGCTAATTCTTGGGATCATTGCTAGGTAAAAACCATAAACCATTATGAAATATTCTTTTAGTGAGGTTATATAAAATTTAAAGGCATGATTATTTTACTTGCAATGTTACCTTTTCTCTATGAAAATTTACTGATTAATAATGTGTATGAATTTCTCAAGTGTATTTTAATTTCATATACATAGAGATAAAAAATTGTATGTGTTCTATATCTGAAATGTATTAATTTCATTTTGGTATTTTTAATTCCTTCATACTAATATTCGTATTCTTATTTAAAATCAGACCCTAAGAAACAGTGTTTGGTAACAAAGTGAGTTAAAGAGGGAAGTTATCAGGTTTGTTCTTATCTAAGATTACTGTCTTATGTTAATATATTAATATAAATGGAGGATTGATGTAATTTGTATATTTCTGATAATATAGGGTAATTATATATTTTATAAAATTGCAAATGATAATCTGATGAAGACGTGTAATAAATTTCATTTTAAACCTAATGCAGTAAAATAAATGTTTGAAGTTCATGTTAATTGGAGGCTTTCTAACTAAATCTTTTAAATCTCAAGGTCTTTTTCCTAAACACTCTTTAGGAAATGTATTTGACCTCTAATTCTTCTGTATACTTAATAGATTCTTGGGAAAAAGTCTACTGATTTATATCTGTGTATCTTAATAATATAGTTCCTTGGAAGGAAAAGAATTATATACATTTTATAACTAAATTCTAATGATTATTATCAACTTTAAACATTTTGAAGAAGCTAATTCTGCAAATTAGGATCTGCAAAATTGTTATAATATAAAACTACAACATTTAGAGACATTGTACTTTAGGTTTTCCAGAACTTTAAAAAATAATTTTATTAGTGTATATCAATAGGATAACTATATCAGCAAACGAACAAACAAACAATAGAAAAACCTGACATCTAACAACCAAAATGACAAGCCCAATTTAAATGGTTTCTCTAAGTAGTTTTACAAATGAGTAAAGGACCTCTGGATGTAAATACAACCTTAATAAAATTTAACATTTTCTTATTGATATTTAATGACAACTGAGAGCAAAATTTGTGCAGGCGCTTACATATTAAGTACTTCTTTTGTCAGTGATATACTTGTGGCACTTACAAATCAGACTCCTTGTTCTGAATTTTGTTTTACTACCACTATAATTCTGGCTGTTGCTTTTATTGTTTTTTTTTTTAATTATTTATCAATATGCTAGATACACATAGTTTGAAATACATCCCTTATTAAAGTACTAGATATCTTGGCAATACGCAGCTTTCTAGTCTCTTTGGTAATATTTCATATTTATAAATGGCTAGATGAAATGGTTGCTTAGTGATTTAATACGTGCTAACCTTTTTCTCTTTAGAGATATGCCCTACATTTTGCTCTTGATCTCTTCTAATATTACTGGCATTTCAGATGACATGCAGATTTTTTTCTTCATTTCTTATTTATTCTTCATTCCCTGTCTTTGAGTTGCCTTCAGATATTTAATAGAGTATAATAGTACTACTGCTCAAATACTTTACATTTATCAATGAAATTTTAATCTTATTTTTGAAAGCTGATAGTTTATATTCATATTTCCTTTTGAACATTAAATAAGGAAATCAAGAAGAATATAATCTTGATACTACTTTACAGAATGTAAGGATTTCTTACATAGAATTTTAAAGAAAAAATTGTATTTCTACTTTCCTCTTTTTACATCTAAATTATAAATTTGGTTTATGGTTAATATTATCACATTTCCTTTTTAATGCGGAATAATTGCCCATAAGTTTCTGGATGGGTTGTTTTTATTTGCCCATGAGTTACTTTGAACTTCAGATTTTCCCATAAAATTTATGTTCAGGTAATTGGTGAGGGAAATACTACAACACAGAAAAGCTCTTAAATAAAATAAAACAGACATAGATACACAAAAAGTGAATGCTAGGAAGTTTGAGGTGTGAAGACTGTGATGGCAGTAAAAAATGTCCTATGCGTGTGTGTTTGTGTAAGGGAGCATAAAACACAAGTATTAGCATTTCTTCATAGAAGCTCAGTAATCACAATATTTGGTAGGAAAATCCGATTGACAGGTGAAGCATTCCCTGTGTCTCCAAGAAGAGAAAATAAAGATGACAATTTGGAGTCCCCTCAAGTGTTTTTTCATATACATAATATTATCATCATTAGGATATATGTGTTTGGGGAATATGAAAATAAATCCATTAATTTCACGGCTTTTTTCTTTTCCTTTGATGCCTCAGCTTTATTGTTGTTTCAACTATGACTAAAGAACCCTGAGGAAACTGTAGCTGTAGGTGAACTCTCAATTCCCAAGGAAGTCTGAGCAGCGGCATCTTAAGGCAGTCATGAGCACAGACCCTGATACCATATAAAGATCTTATAAAGCACCAGTCCATATGCTGGATTTCATCTGTAGGCACACTTAGCCCCATATAGTATATTTTCAAATAATTGCAATTAATTTAATTAATTTCCAGTTGTTAAAGATTGAAAGGTTTTACCTAGGAGGTTTATTATCAATTCGTATTGAAAAATCAGAAGCTCGGGCAAGACTGGCCCATTTTCCAAAAGGCAGCCGTCTCCTGGTGCTGACCCTCCCCGGCTCCTTCGGGGCGCGGGGCTCTCCGACAGATCCCAGGCCCCTCAGGGCCTCTGCGCCCGTCCATCTGAACACCTCTAGGCATTTGTGTTTCTACCGCAAGATTAAAATCTACTAAATTAAATCATCCTCCAAATTACTTCAAAAGAAGGAGATGGTGGAAGCAGAAGAGGAGATCTCCTTAAGTATTAGCCTAAGAGACTTTGAATTAAGTCATCTAGCCGTTACTTACATTGTTGAAGAATAAAACAGACAGTACACCCTCTGAGACTTTGATGTGCCCATTTGACTCCTTATTTAGAAGTGGCCTCCTAATAGTACCAAACAGAATTAGAGAATTAGATGCAGTTTGTGTCACTAAACAAGGATAAAATATTGAGACCTACCGGGAATTTGTTCAAGACAAATTAAAAGGTAGAAAGTAAACAGTTTAAGTAAGAAAAACTTAATTAGATTTCCAAGATGTTTTCAATCAATGTCACTTAATTTATTATTAGAATTAGGCAGGAAGGAAATACGTAACAAGCAGTTATCGTGAGAACAGCCCTTCAATACTCTGTTTTAAATTCTTGACAATACGGACTGTGTTCTGGTTCGGTTTAAATCATGAGTTACCACAGGCTTTCTTCTTTCCCAACTTGTGGAAGTATGGGGGGAGAAAAAAGGGAATAAAACTAGAGAAGTAAAAATGATTGTACACATATGTGTATAGGGTGTGTGTGTCTGTCTATGTGTAGTTTTAGCCTGAGAAGTCCCCTCATTTTGTGAATATTAGAATCCAATTATAATTTTCCCCTCTGTCTAATAGTTCTTGGCCTCCATTGTTGCTGCTGCCAGTGCTTTTGTTATTTCTCTTTTAGAAGTAATACATTTGCTATTTGTTTTCCTGTTTGCCTATTTGTTTTTTTATTTCCCTCTGTTCCTTCTTCCCTTGCTCTTGATCTTTTATCTTCTTTTGTCTCAGTCTGAATGATTGTGTTAGGTCACCCACTGGGCAGGTACTTAAAAAAAAAAAAAAAAAACACACACGCTGTTACCCTGTTCACAAAGTACATTCCCGGAGGCATCAAATTAATGAGTATCTCAAGGCCTGTGAAACAAAAAGAGAGAAAAGATGATGAATGGAATTAGAAATAGGAAGCGCTGATTGGTGGCCTTAAGCATCAGTCCAAACATGAGTGTGTGTGCTTGCTTGCACATGCACATGCACACGCAGGCATGCACACACACAGATTCACCAGTGAACGGGGCAGACTGTGGGATAGAATGGTAATTAGGGGCCCTAGAAACGATTCTGCTAGATCCCTTTAGGCTTTAATCTCTTTTTAAACAAAAGGCAGTTTTTAAATCATACTAGAGACATAATTACAAAAAGAAATATGCTTTCTTTTTCCAAAGATCTTCTTTTTATGAAAATGATCGTTCAAGTATTATTTAATAACTTGAATTTATACATCAGCCACAAATTACATTATTTTATGTTTTCAAATGTTTATGCTCATTTGTCCAAAATGCTTTAGATCTTTTTTACCTCCAATATGAAGTATAAATAAATCACTGTTTTTGATTTTTATTAAATATCACTGAATTTTCATGTGAATTTGTAGAAATATGGACATCTGTTTAGCCATAATATCAAGGGTAATGATCAGACTTGGGTTTTTCTTAATGATCAAAAATTTTTAATGGCCATCAAAGCATGGGTACCAACCAACCAGAACAGGAATTGGCCAAGAACAGTGTCCGGTTAGGTGTGCCAGTGATGCCCTGAAGAGCATTAGCCTTGTGTATAATAGATGGAAGACCTGATGGGAATCAGGTATTAACTTGGACATTGGGGTTAGTAAACTTATTCTAATGGAGCATTTGACTAAAGCATTCTCAACATCTGACGTACAGCTCTTTCAAATTGTCTATTGCACGAGTTATATGACTAATATGAGAATTATAGGTTCTATTCATCTTACTACATTAAATTACTGTATTTTTTGTAATAAGTATTCTATAAGCTTTAATTTGTGTAATTTAGCTCCCTCTCGCTAGGGGCAATATTAAGTTTAATACTAGTTCTGGTGTATTAAGTCATTTGGAGTCATTTAGGGATTAGAAGCAATTATTTGTAAGCGATAGCTTATCTCCTTTTATTTTAAAAGAATTTCTTAAAATGTAGATTGGTAAGAAAAAAAGGCTAAGTGATTCTGGTTGCCTGTAGGTGTGTTAACTTTGAAAGTTAAACACAGTGCTAGAGAATAAATTCCCACTTAGTTTCAAAATAGCAATGTATTTAGCACTAGTTATTATTTAGGCAATATTAATTACAAAGCACATTATATAAATCATCTCACTGATTACATACAGCAATGTTATGAAGTAAATAATTGTGTTATATGTAAAATTGAATTCAGACACTAATATATTCTATAGGGTCCAGCAGAAGTAAGGCCTGCTTCAGTGTGGTTGGTAGGGTAATAATATGAGTGTAATAATTTATAGTTTTAATTTGAATATTTCACCTAAAATGTCATATGGTGTGCTTGAGTGTGATATATGTTACAGAATTACCCGCTTATGATTTCGTAATTAAAAAGGGCGTTATTTGTGCCAGGCCTGTATATTCGCTAGTTATACAATCTTGTATAAATGTTATACCACCCAAAGACAAGGGCAATTCATAATGCTGTTTTTGTTTCGTGATGGAGGAAAATGAACTTTATATGCACAAGTTTATCTGGACTTGGTAAAAAAACCAAACAAACAAAACAAAACAAAACAAAAAAACCTAGCACTCCAGTAGGCTGATACATGGAGACACGTTTTGAAAGGTTTAAACAGATGCACTAATGAGAACTTACGAATATTTGTGGTGATGGTAAACTCTGTCCTTTGCCTCCCTGTTTTTAGTACCAGGGCAGCCACTAAACTTCAAAGCAGAACCTGAGTCTGAAACGAGTATTTTGCTCTCTTGGACACCTCCACGTTCAGACACCATCGCCAGCTACGAACTGGTCTACAAAGATGGGGAGCACGGAGAGGAGGTAGGGCCGTGTTTCTCACCTTTGGAATTAGTCACTGAACTGAGGCACTGCTCTGCTTTGCTATGCTTGCTCAAGTTCTGTAAGAGGCCAGATATCTATAGAGGACTGTGGTAGAAAAGATGTATGCAGCAAGGGACACTGGACCAAAAGAGTAGAAAAGGTATTTGGAGACTTGCTGGGGAAAGGGACAAAACAGATCAGGTATTGCCCTGTTGGAACTATGTCCTTTTGAAGTTTCCAAATTACTTATGTAGGTATCGAATTAAAAATTATTTAATATACCCCATGAGACCTGGGGACTTTTTTCCTCTTCTGCATTCATGCTCCAGGATTTTGAATAGAAGAATTTGTTCAAACTGGTTTTAGAGAAATATACCCCAAAGCAAATGTCTGTTTGTATGCCAAAAATTATGATGTAAATGTGAGCATATATAAAGTTTGAGTAAGTTATGCACATAAAATAACAGGAGTTTGTAGAAGGCAGGAAAGAATTGATAGTCACTGAAAATAAAACAAAAATCAGAATAATTAATAAATACATTAACAGGCAGTGTTCTAAGGGTTTCACATCTCTTAGCTCATTTAACAGTGCTATTGGTTGGACCACCTCTGTTATTAATCTATTTCACATGTTGCAAAATGGAGGCACATAAAAAAAGTTAAATACTTAGCCGAAAGTCTCATGCTACTGGATAGAAGAACTAGAATTTGAATCTAGGCAGGCAGTTTCAGAATCTGTGTTCTTAAACATTAGGGTACACTGTCTTTTGGGTGCACTTTAAATATATTATAGGAATCAGTTATTAATATACACCTAAGATTTTTAGAAAGAGAATGTATTATAGTAATGAATATGTTTATTATGTTATTATAAATTCCAATAGGGGAATATTGGACAAAATGTTAGTAAAACTGTATGTGAAAACTCAATCCACACAAGCCATTTTATGTTACCTCTTAGCATTCTTCGTATTAAAAAAAAAATCTTCACGAAGCTAAACAGCCCCAGGGATCTAACAAGGAATACTTTTTTAAAACATTCACATACTAAATGAAATATTATCAGTTAACTTGTTGGGCATTGTCTTGTATGCTATAATAAGTTAATTTTTACTGTAAGCTTTTATTACTTCCGTTTGAATGGAGTGGAATCTCTAAAGACCAGGTTCTAAATGCAGTGCTTTTAGATTTAGCTAACCAGGCCATTACAAATTAATCACTTAAAAAGTTATATAATTTAAATGCTGATATAACTTAAGGTACTCATATTACAACTATTTGTTTTTAATAAGATATAAATCAGCATTAAATTATTTTAAATCCTTACCATTATCCAACTAAGAAACAAATATAGCAAAAACAGCAAAGAGGGGGGCAGCTTTTTGAGAATGCTCTGAATGTTTGAATGTCGGCGCATTAGCTCTGTTTCATAATCGTTTTATAGGGAATACTTTCTTTTTCTTGTTATTTGGTAAATCTGAAAATTTTAAAAGCTTTTGTAGTTTCAAGCCAGAACACCCTGGAGATGTTTTCTCCAGTTCTATATTTGAATTCTTCTTGACTGATTGCTGTTTGTGTAAACAGCAAGCAATATTGGATAAAAAAACTTAAGATTATGCCATATTAGATTACATATTAGCATGTATTTGAAGGTTTACTACAGGCTAATGTTCAGTCTGGGATTGATTATCAATAAGCAGATATATTTTTGCTAAAATACAAAGGCAAATTTTAAGCATGATAAGCAATTATAAAATTTGATTAAAGGAACTTCATTTCAAAAGTCCTTTATGATATTAAAAGTTATCGAAAAGTCTGTGATTATTTTTGTAGCTGTAGACTCTATATCCCCAAGGGAAAAAAGTTATAAAATAATTTTAAACCAACCTAGATTTCATATAAATTATCCAGCTTTCTTTAGTAACTAACATCTGATTTTTATCCCATCAGACACTGGCAATTTTATGTCTCTTTTATAGTAATGTCAGGTTAACTGTATACCCGTTTCTGCTGTTACTTCTAGCCATATTTTCTTTGCCCCTATGTAGGTTGCAGAAGATCATGAGACATGAGCTTGAACTCTCTTTAGTTGAAATTGCACATGTTGGGCATAGTCCACTATCATTTTCTACTGTAGGCCATGTTACAGCAACACACATGCCTTAACTGTAGAACACACTATGGGCAATGGCCTCTCGATCACCCTTTTATCCAGTGCGTTTGGATAGCTGTGTTATCATGAGAAAGATCCCTGGACACCTTTATTCCACTTACCTTATTTGTTGTAGAAACTTGCTTTTAAAATGCTATTTTCATTATATTATTCCCCAAGTAGTGTCCTTGATATTCTGTAGGTTCCTTGTGAGATTTTTTGATGACAGGTATTGGGATAAAAAAAGACTTGCCCAGACCTTAATGAAGATGACCAAGTTTTCTTGTTACTTATCCACAGCAACGAATTACCATTGAGCCAGGGACATCTTACAGACTGCAAGGTCTGAAACCAAACAGCTTGTACTACTTTCGTCTGGCTGCACGTTCTCCTCAAGGCTTGGGTGCTTCTACAACTGAAATATCAGCTAGAACCATGCAGTCAAGTAGGTGTCTCTCTTTGCTTACTTTCTGTCTTTTTTTTTCACTAGGAGGTGTTGCCTGATTTTATCTCTACCAACAAACAGAGCTGCTAATTAATATTCTTAGTCAGCAGTCTCTATGCCAGCAGATGCCCAACATTGAGGATCAGAGTGCAACCATGGCCTATGTTGTTTTCAAACTTGGTCCAAGTAGCAGATTCTTTTCTGCCACTTCCTAAATTGAAAAACCTTCAGAGAGGTTGAGAGATGAGAGAAATGGGTGAAAGGAGTTAAATCAAGCCCCATTTAGTGAGTTATAAGCCTGTAAAGCAAAATTCAGGCTGAAACACTGAAAAATAATCAGAGGAAGGCTTTTTAGCAAAATGAAGAGGCAGTGAAAGACCAAACTGTTGTCTTTTTTTAAGCACACACGTTTTAACCTTGCTAACAAATAACTATTTCACCTGTTTGTTCCTACTTAGAGAAAAGCTCAGCTCTTTGGACTAGTTTGTTATTAACTCTGCAAGTAGTACATGTGAAAATTTGGAACATTCACAGCAAATCTCTTATTTGGATAAATTTAGAAATAATGGAATAATCACAAGTGCATTTACAATCCTAAATTTTATTTTGTTTCCTCAGGTTCAATTTCTTTTTGGAACTGTTAATATAAAGAATAGTTATCTTTATTACAATGTATCCAGGGAAGACTTTTAAGATTGTTTTTTGTGAAATCTTATATGGGAGATTGTTTTTGTTGGAAAGTTTGGTGGCTTATAATACTATTTGATCTTTATTAATGTTTTTATAATTAGTGTATTAATCAAACACTTATTTGAGTTTAACAGTTTTATGGATTTATTTCCTTAATTTTTTTTTATATTTTATAAGTGATTTTGGTATAGAGACATGCAATAGGTATGTATAATAGAAATGCATTAAATTTCGTAAAGAGAATGCTGTATTGATCTAATTCTTAGACTTGTCAACAAACATAATATTTATATATTTTAAAAGATGAATTTATTTCCATATAAGCAAGTCTTTGTATCTTATTCTTCTATAGATACTTGACATCCTTCAGGGTTTTTGATAATAAAAAATCATTTTCTTCTCTTTTCTCAAAACATCATTATTCATATGAAAAGTATTAGGTTCCTGTGCTTAATCTGTTAGTAATTATAGCTTATTCCCACAAAATTGTCTTTCTTTTCCAATCTGAAGCATGTAAATACAGTATTGTATGTCTGCTTTGAATTCCAGGCAGGCTAATAAGTCATATTGTAGAAGATAATTCTTAAAATCAGATGTTTAATTTAAAGAAACGTAACGTGCTTTAATATTATATTTTGCATGGTTTACAAACTTGACTTTTTTGCATACATATATACATATGTACTTACATAGAGACAAAATGAACTTTTTATAAGCACACCAGAAGCTTATCTTTTCTTTATTTATTAAAAGAAAAGTTTCAAATGGTGTTGAATGTACTCAAAGAATAGAAGGACTGAGAGTAGCAATGTCATGAAAAAAAAATCAGTATTTTAGAAAGAATTACAAATGAATCCTTGCTGTTATATGAATAACCCAATTTATTATGAATAATGATGATGCATTTAAAATAATTTTAGGATTTGAAATAGAAGAACCTGTAGTCAGAATCAGTAAAAAATATATTCTAGTGATTTTACAAATCTTATTCCAAATTTATGAAACTTTCAATGAGAATTTTCTTTTTGTTAGTAAAGAGTGCTTTTCCTTTTGATTGACTTTACTGCAAAACACAAGACATATAAAGACTGATAATAGTCTAATGATCTAATAAACCTGGCACTACATAAAATAAAGACCCACAAAGTCAAACTACGTAATGAAATACAAAAACTTAGAAATTATTTACTCATTGTACCATATATATTGCCTTAAAAATATATATGTATTATGTATGTCTTATCCAATTTGTTTTTTTAGGAACATATATTATTAACTTTATGATAAAACTGCTTTTTAATTTTTCAAATAATGATACATTTGATTAATTTAATAGAAAATAATTGCTCAGAAGGTGACCAGTTTATGTTGGAATGGGCAATAAGAAAGTTTATCTTTTAACTCTTTTGTCAACACTACTTTATATGAATAATTATATAGAAAGTGAAAGGAATTATGCACAAATGAAAGAAAGATGGTTCTCAGGATTTTTTAAAAAGTTTTTTTAATGGCTATGTTATTGACATTTTGTAAGGGATAGATGATTATTACTGATTTTACCAAAATTTGCTGGTGGAATCTAATTCTTCACTAGCAATGGTGTCTCAAGAAGAGTTATAATTTTTTTAAAAGCTGAAAGCTGATGTAGGGTAAGTACAAGTTACAGTCAGAATCAACAAGCCTGACATTACTCTCGGTAGGTAAATCTTGGACTATGCCTTTTCATCCTTTATTGATTCTGCATGCTCACTCTGTATGGGGTAAGATCAATGTTAGGTTAATGCTTTTCATTAAAACGGTCAGGCACAACCATTTTTTCAGATAGTCAGAGGGAGCCCTTTTATGTTTGTTGGGATTTTATTTCTTTTCTTTTAAAGGAATGGAATTGGTGGAAGGGTATCAAGTAGTTATTGCAGTTTTTCACTTTTAAGAATGCTTTCACAAAGGAATGCTGTGTATGAATCGTCCTCATTCTAGAATGCAGAAATGAAAGCTTGAAACAGAATCTGTGAAGCCTCATCAAGCTGCTCATGTAGTAAATCTTGCAGTATTTGCAGCTTTTTTGAAGTTGGGCAGTCTGTATGGTAGGGCTGGGGAATACCGAGGGATTGGTTTAGAAGAAGAATTTAAATTGCAGGTAGGTAATTTTATCAGAGGCTTTATTATCTCAAGGTTTCATGTTCACATATTCCCCCCACTCATTATTTAACATCTATTTTTGGTCATTTATTCATTTTTTTTTTTTGGTTCATTCATATTACTAAGCCAAGGTATATAATTTATCTTTAAAATTTATTTTAAATTTCAAAGCTTTATTTTCATTTTGTTGCCCTTAATGTTCGTTTATTTATTTTTGCCTTTTCTTTTGTTTTATCATTTTTTTTTCCAACCACTCCTGTCCTTTCACTCAAACCCTCCTTTAACTCACTACCAAAATAAGAGCCGTCAGCTCCTCCTCAAGACATTAGTTGTACCAGCCCAAGTTCCACTAGCATTTTGGTAAGTTGGCAACCTCCACCAGTGGAAAAACAGAATGGCATTATTACTGAATACTCCATCAAGTATACTGCAGTGGATGGAGAAGATGAGAAACCTCACGAGATTTTGGGAATTCCTTCGGACACTACCAAATACCTTTTGGAACAGCTGGAAAAATGGACTGAGTACCGGATCACTGTGACAGCCCACACAGATGTCGGCCCTGGCCCCGAGAGCTTGTCCGTGTTGATTCGAACCGATGAAGATGGTATGTTGCCTCTGCTACGTCCGTTTGCTCCCTTCTACACAATCTTGGTCTGCTGTCTTTTGATAGGCTAACAGTAATCCATTTTTCTCTGCTCATCTTTTTTGACCCAACATCGCTCTAACGTCAGTAGTTTTTGCCAAAGACCTCTCTTTGCTACAGCCTGGGCATTTTTTTTTTCCTCTTTTGATCTCAACACAGTAATTTGCTTCCCTGTAAAAAGAACAGTTTGCTCCTATGATTTTGCAATCCAGGCTCTTCCTCTGTACCTCCATCTAAAGTCTTCTGCATTTTTCGTGGCTTTTTGTAGTCACTTCTTTTACATTTTGAAGTTAACTTTTAAAAACAGCCTTCTTATCTTCTTGTTGCCTTTTTGTCTTGCATATTTCAGAAGCGCTGATGCTCGACATTTAATTTTTGGCATTTGTTGTATGGAATACCTTTGATATGAGAAAAAAAGAAGAAAATTCATATACTCAAGAATCTTTTTTTTTCTGCTAAAAAGAAACCTTTAAAAAACACACAGCAATCAACAAGCAGTTTTTGTTATTATTTCAATGCTATACCTCTTTGTGCTTTAATGCTTTGAACCTCAAAGCATCTTCCTTGGCTTTTGTACATTTTTTACATGTTTTTCTATTTCTCTGATACTCTTTTTTTCTTCCATACTTTTTTTTGGCATTGGTCATGTTTTTTGATCTTTTCTTGAAAGGTAGAGCAGATTGGTTGAGCATTTTCATTGGTTGAAAATGTTTGTATTCCACCAAGGAAACATAGTGGGTCTGCCCATTTAAAAAAAAAAAAAAAAGAAAGAAAGAAAAGAAAAGAAAAGAAAAAAACTAAGTAAAGAAAATGCTCTGACTGGGTGGGACAAGTGCCTATAATTTTCTTTTATCCGATGATATTGTTCCAGTTCCTAGTGGTCCTCCTCGCAAAGTCGAGGTAGAGGCTGTCAACTCAACATCTGTTAAAGTCTCATGGCGCTCACCTGTGCCCAATAAACAGCATGGCCAGATAAGAGGATACCAGGTGCATTACGTGAGGATGGAAAATGGTGAGCCCAAGGGCCAACCCATGCTGAAGGATGTCATGCTGGCGGATGCACAGGTAAGCCTCTGAAATTACATACCCATGTTTTTCTGAGATACTGTTTTTGATTCTGTGCCTTGAACTGGGCCCCATCTTAATTATTATTTTTTAACATTAAAAAAATCATCCACAAAATTCTTGTGCTTGAAACACATGATATGTATATATGTTCTCAGTCAGAGATGCCATCAGTTGTAGAAATATGCATCTGATTAAAACAGTTACTTTTTTAAATACAATATTCAGCTCTCATACATAGTGCCTTCTGCTTAAAATTTTTTATTGAATTCTAAGAAGCAGTTTTGCTGATAGCATCTCTTTTCTTCTGTATTAAAACTACTTGGAGTTAAGTTGACCTAATTTCTAAACAGAAGACTTGTCCTATTGGAAAAAAAATTCTTATTATGGAAAAAGTATCTAGATAGTATTTTATTTAGAATATCTTTATTAAAATATGATTTTGATGAAACGAATTGTTTCATTTCCCAGAGAATGAAGATAATGACCATGATAAAATCAAGAGTTTTCCAGGGAATACATGGGACCCCCATGTTGAGCCAAGTTAAGAAACGTATTATTGAGTATGTGAGAGATTGGTCCTAAGGCAGTAGTTTATAACTGTGGAGTCATAATTTGGTTTTGTAATCAGTTGTTTAATATTGAGCATCAATTTTTTTTCATAAATTAGTAGTGATTCAAAGATAGTACCATAATAGACCTGGCTGGTGTGGCTCAGTGGATTGAGGTGCTAGCCTGTGAATCAAAAGCTGGCTGGTCGATTCCCAGTCAGGGCACATGCCTGGATTGCAGGCCAGATCCCCAGTTGAGGGGGGTGGGGCACGCATGAGAGGCAACCACACATTGATGTTCCCCTTTCTTTCTCCCTCTTTTCCCCTCTCTTTAAAAATAAATAAATAAAGTCTAAAAAGAAAAGCAAGCTTACAAAGGTAATACCATAATATCTCCATCTGTCATAATTTTCTAAAAGGGGGAAGAAGATTTTAATGAATTACTGCCCTGCTGGGGATTATACATAACCTGTGGAGTAGCTCATCTATGCTTGATTCAGTGGTGATGGGATATTATGAGTAGGGAAGTGCTTTGCTTATCTAGCAAGTTGGTAGCTGGTCATGGCAGTGGATGATATTTGTGAAAATCTGGAACATTTCAATGGAAAATTTCTTGTTTTGTGTGAAAGTGAGGAAGATTATGAACAAAGTTGTGAACTACTGCTCCAGGTTGCCAAATTTTGCATCTTTGTCTCAGTGAAAATAAGAAAGTAAATAAATATCTCTGTAGCTCTAAGGAAAGAATTTACCCCAAGTCTTGAGATAATCAGCTTACAAAGCTGCTAATGTTTGCCTCAGTCTCCAAACATTCTAAATAAAGAGATCAGGATTAGAGGCTAATTTATCTACTTTTAATCCAATTGTATGGTTTTGGTTTAGAGGATACTTCTGTAAATGTGGTTCAAGATTCTTAGTGTCCCTTAGATTTGGAAAAGGGCCACTGATTTGCATTTTCAAATATTTAATTTATACTGCCTATAAACTAAAATATTCTCATAATATAAAATAAAGTCATCTTTGCTTATGTTTTATTGTATAAGTCTGAAATTGGGAAAAAGAAATTGATAAGACCATCACGTTTTGATGCTCTTCTGTTCTTAGGTAATATTACATTACAGAACTGTAGTTCTGTTCTTTTTCTTGGGAGTATGGTAGTTAATGGAATTATATAATACAAAATTGCCTTACGTACCACTCAGTCTTTTTTCCCCCCTCTCTTCTACTTGGACTTTTATTTATTAATTTGCTGATTTTCCTTGTGCTCTTTTTTTATTTCTTTGTTCCCCATATCTTATTTTCCTTTTAACTATTCATTGAATTTATTCAGTCTTGCAGGACTTCACCAGGACTATTGGATTTCAATATTAATAGGAGATGTTAATCTTAATAGTGACTTGAATTAACTATGTAACTTAAGGAAAAAGTCAAAATAAATGTCACAAAGTAGTGTGCATTAGCTTTTTGTTATGCCTTCTTGCTTTATTTCAATGGAAGATTTGGAAAAAGCTGGTTTTAGTGATAACAATACAGAGCATATTTATTTTAGACCTTTCAATTGAGAATGAACGTGGCAACATAACACACTTATACTCTTTGGAATTTTATTGTACGCATTGATTCAATTGTTTATTTTTTTCTTTTTTATAATCTAACAAGGGCACCATTGCCTGTATCAGACTACAAATTTCTCTTCATTTCTTTTTATTTTGTTTCTACCTCCCCAACCTTCTTAATCTCAATCAGTGGGAATTTGATGACACTACTGAACATGTGAGTAATTTTTGCTTGCTTTGTCAAAACATTATAAATGCTTATTTTTTTTCCTGATATTCCTCTTTCACTTATTTGGGATATGTCTTCACTGTTTCAATGCATGAATTAACAAGTTTTTAAAAATTATCCTCACGACATTGTACACCTTGTATTTTGGTTTTGTTTTGTGAAATTGGCACGGTGCTACTGATTGCATAAGAAATATCATGAGCTCGTGTTATTTTGGTGGCCGCTACTAACTCTGCCTTGTGACATAGTTAGCGGAGGCATGCTTTAAGTGGAGGCATCACAGACCTGAGATGTCAAGTTTTATGTTGTAGGCTGCTCTTGAATTCTACTCCAGTCTTACATATTCAGTGGATAACATGATGTAGATCTGGCACTAATTAACTCTATCTAGAAGTGGCAATTCTCTGTTGTACCCATACAACTTTGAGTGAACGTGAATGAGTCATGCAAAGAAGGAGAAAGTATCTCACTCAGTGAGGAGTTTTTAAGTTAATAAATAACATAATCCAGTAAGTTAATAATTCAAGTGGACTATGTTATTTATTAAAAGCTAATTATATATAAGCTACAGTCTGGGATACAAAATGTGACACCTGCCTTCTAAGTTCTTATAGTCTATATGACTAGTAAAGATGTAAATATCAGAAAATTTTCATAAAATGCAATATACACGATGACATCAAACAACATGTAATTAATTAGTAGATGAGTAACAATCTCACTAAGAGCTATGAGTTTAGAGACAGTAGATCAGGATGATAGAAGAGGTCCTGAAAAATGAAGTATAAGTAGGGATTGAAGAGGTGAAAGTGTGAGAGTGTGTGTGTGTGTGTGTGTGTGTGTGTGTGTACGTGTGGGTGTGCTAGGGAGTTGAAGGTGGAAACATGTCTTCTAAACATGAGCACAGCAGAAGCAGCCATTGAGGCAGTCAAGAGTGTGATATAGGCAGGTAACAGGAAGCTTGCCAATTTGAAAGAAATAAAGGGTTCAGGTTAATAAGTTAGTGCTAAATATAGCTAAGAAATAAGTTTTAATATAATGTTGAAAAGTCAATAGTATAGCAGTGTTTTATAAACTTCTTTGACCATGACCCATAGTAAGAAATGCATTATATTTCATGACTAATACATGTGTTTAAAATAAGTTTATCAAAATAATACCTTACTTTTAAATATATGTGAACTTCAATATTTTACATTCAAGTGTGTGTGTGTCTGTGTGTGTGTGTACATACATGTATATGAATACACCTTTTTTTTTAAATACTGGTCATGACTGATGAAATTGATTTTATGACTGACTAAATTGATATAATGACCCTCTGAATGGGTCATTACCTGCAGACTAAGTGGAGAGGTAAGAAAGAAAAAAAGGTAATGAATAGGGAAACAAATAAAAAGAGCTCTCTCACTAAGAAATAAAAATGCAACAGTGTTGAGGCAGCAGAAATGGAAAAAGGAATTGTTATCATCAATATTTTAAAGAATTGACAAAAACTTGCTGACTAGCTAAGAATTTGAGGAAGAAAAAATGATCAAAGTGTCACTTCAAAGTTTTGGAGATACTCCACTAATTCATTAAAATATGGGAAGCAAAGAGGGGAGTTGGCCTCTGGGAATGACATTTAAGCTGTAGTTAAGCTAAACTTGAGGTGATGCACAACAGTCAACGGAGAATGTTCAGCAGATATTTATGATGTATATGTCCCTGGAGCCCTTCTGGAAAGTCAGGGCTAGAAATGAATTTAATGCAAAGGTATAAAAAAAGCCTTCAAAGGTTTGGAAAAGCTTTCGAAGACAGCTGTTTTGTTTTGTGATTGGAGAGAAATGCAGACCAGTGACTGCTACGAAAGATCCAGTAATGCCAGCCTTTAATAGGAAGGGGCAAGAAGTCAAGTGGAGCTGGGATAGGAAAAGACAAAGAGAATGAGGAACTGTGGCCATGATATCAGCCACATTAACCCACAGAGCGTACAGAACCACCAAGGAAGTACACCTGCAGCTTAACAAAAGAAAACGTAACCTAAGAGATGATACAATTTAGGCAGATAGAGGTGTAGTGAGCTGAGATTCTACCACCACAGAAAGTTTGACAATTTCAAATTGCATTGTTTACATTATGCTGTCCCACCCTGTGCAAGAGGAAGGACACATGTCGTTAACCCCAATTTTATAAATGAGAAACTTGTACAAGGCTCAGCATATATAAATTTCTTGCCACACGACTTGGTGACAGAACCAAGCCTTGCTTGTTTCTTGCTCCTCACCTTGCCTCCTTTCAGAAGCAATCCAGTGGCATGTGAAAGAGGACCTTGAAAACAATAGTGTTGTCATTTATCCATCATAATTTTTGGAATAGCTACTGTCTGCCACAGCTTAAAACACCACTCTTGGGTGGCTTACTTAGTTTTTATGTTCTCTGTAATGTTAGTGAAACCATTCCAAGTTCCAGAAAATAAAATTCCTCTCCCAAATTTAGTCCATTTATCTTACAGAATAGTGTTTCTAATGGCTCTTCAAGATGGTATCCAAAATTCTTGAATTTCTGCCTTAATGATACTCCTACTTTTTTGAAAAAAAAACGCCTCGTAAAAACTGTCATATTTGGGATCAGATTCAACAGTTGAGTTCTGTGGTGCCTATGACGGCCCTGAACAGGAAACTCCCACCGTCCCTCACACAGCCTAGTCTATTCACCAAACTCCCACTGGCATTGTCTTTAGATGTGGAAAACAATGCCCCTGTCTGTTTTCCTAAATTTAGCATACTTAATTTGAGAAAATAGCTGTACCAAAAATCTGAGGGTTTTTTTCTTTTTTTATTGCTGTGGGCGGGGGGCGGTGTGTAACTCTAAAGAAAATATCAGGACAAATTCATAGCCAGCACTGTTTTAAAAACCATGGAAATCTTCAATTTAGAAGAACAGTTCTGTGATCATCTAGTCTTAATAACTATCACAGCTTTGGGCCCTTACTAAGACAAAACTGAGAGTATTGATAAACAGTTGGTGGTAGTTACCATTTTCTAAACAATTGGAATTAAAAGAACACCTATTTGTGATATGGTAGAATAAGTCCTATTCTTTGGTTTTAGGTCAGGAAATTCTTAAGATGAACAGAAAATTCTCCTTAGTGTATAATAATTATAGTTCATAGCCCATACAGTTAACCAATAATATGTGTTTTGAGTCCCAAGAAACTTCTCTGGCTCTCAGGTTGTCCAGGTCCAGCAGATCAGCCATCTGGCAAAATACTTCCATGGTGATGAAACAGACTGTTGGCATCAGCCCCATCACCAGTCTGTGGGCCAGGCCATAGTGGATGCATAGTGGATTTCTCACTATGAGCCCCGCATAGTTCAAACTGTTTACCTAACATAACCCATTTAGTCCTCTGGTGGCCCTATGGGGTCTTATTCCTACTTTCACATGGGGAACTGGGGCACAGTGGGGTAAACTGATATAGCCTGGAACACCAAGCCAATAAAAAAGGAGAAGCAGGTTTAAATTCAAGAATTCAAGAAGCCTGGCTGGCTTCAGGTTTTATGTTTTTAACTCCTTTCCCTTAGAGCTGCCTCTTAGGAAGGCTGACCCGCTCCACTGTCAGCATGGAGAGAGATGATCCATAGCATGAGCTCCAGGCATGAAACTTGCAGTGCTCAGCATGGCTGCAGGGAATGTTCAAGCATGCACAGCAATGAAAATGGGCGCCTTGATGTTCCTCCCCCAGAGCATTCAGGGCAAGTTTTGAATCAATATCATTCTACTGTGTCATTTCAGGACATGATTATTTCTGGGCTACAGCCTGAAACTTCCTACTCCCTCACCGTCACCGCCTACACCACCAAAGGAGATGGTGCTCGCAGCAAGCCAAAACTGGTGTCCACCACGGGAGCAGGTAACCACATCTGTGCATATATGTACCTTGAACATGTTTTGGATAACAGTAATACTGATTTTCCAAATGGGGTGGGTGGCTTCTAAGAACAGAGGGGGGAGAAAGGCTGTCATCAACTATTTTTGTGTATGTGTATATGAGTATGTGTGTATACATATTATTTTACATATAATTCATTTAACAAATATTTTTTGGAGCATCTACTATGTGTTAGGCACTATTCCATTGCTGGGCATACATCCATCAGCAAAACAAACTCTGCCCTCTTGAAATTAATCTTCTGACCAAGACTAGCTAATTAACAAGTGAACAAATTAGTATATAATGAAATGTCAGTGAGTGATAAACTGAAAAATAAAGGTGTGTTGGCATTAAGGATAGGGCTGCCCCTAGGAGTTGTTTTGGATAGAAAAATTGGAGTTCTCTGTGAGGCAGGGTATTAGAGCTGAAGCTTGAGTGATCTGAAGGAGCAAGTCCCATGGGGTTCAGAGGGCACATCAACTAGATAGGGAAGTCACTCAATAGCTTCAAACTCTCCCAACAACAAACCCTGTTAGAAGAGCTGCCATCTGGAGCTAGGTGTTGACTTAGTTTTATTTTTTGTCATTTTCTCCTCCTCGCCCCTTGCTATGGAGATTGTAAAGGGGACAGATTTCATAAAAGATAGGGAACAGCAAAGAGAATGAAGGAAACAAAAAGGCTAAATATCAGACTGCTCTTTCCCAAAGCTCAATGCTCTTTAGAATTTCTTTGGCCACAGTAGGAAAAATCAGCCTGAAGGAAGACCTGGCATTGTAAAACCAATAAATTAAGAGGTAATTATGAAAGGATTCTCTTCTGGTCCCTTTCCATAGAAATCTCTTATGGAACATTTAAACTGTGATTTGATTTACTCCTCCAAAATCACTTGTCACATAACTTTTTAGGAACACACCTCTACGTAAAGGTGTGAAGCAAAGAACAGCTGTGACGGTGAGTACCCCCCTGGGTGCCATGCTTGCTGCCAGATTTGTCTAAATGTCATAAGATTTGCCTCACATCCTGCCACCTGGAACTGCCTCAAGCAGCAGGATTACAGATGGCATCTTTCAAGATAATCTTCTGGGATTTTTTTCCCCTTTTTTTTAGAATGCCTTTGTATCAAGCTAATTTATTACCATGCATAGGAGATACATGTTCATTGAGGGGCACGCTGTCTCTCTTGTTATAGAACCAGCCTCTATCTGAAGGTAGACGACCAAGGCTAAACCCATGACATTTAATCCCAAAAGGAAGAAAATTTATCTCCTTTGCCCATATTTATAACTGTATCTTAATAAGTGTGAAATGTCTTAAACGAAGCACCAAACTCCTATGCCTGATAAGATAGAGGCTCTACAATGAGGAGGAAAAAATAGAGGATTTATAGTAAAAAAATATGGATACTAAAGAAAGGAATGATATTGTCTATTTTATTGTCTATTTTAAAGGCTAGCTCATCACTTTTTAGTCACCACCCAGAAAATTATTTAGATTTGTTGGTCTTATTTATATATAGAATTGTTTTGCAATTTTCCTTCACAATTTTAGATCTTTGTTAATCAGTGAAGACTTAGGTATTGAGGTAGGAAATACTTACAATTTAGATGTCTACACATTATATCATTTATTTTCTTGAGACTTTCCCACAGAACCTGGGTTGGAAGTGGGAGACTCCAGATTTATAATCCCTTTTGAACACGTCTGTAGTTTGTTGTGTTTTTTTGTTTTTGTTTTTGTTTTTTTCTCCTGTCAAACTACAGGTAAAGAAAGCATTCCCCACTCATGGTTTATCCTCAGGTAATCAGCGAACTCAATTTTTTTTTCGTATGCTTTGTTTTAATATACTGTTTCAAAAAATCCTTATGTTTATGTGACTGTGAAGAACTATTGAGTGTATCTCACACATGTGAGCTTTTAATAAACCAGTTATGAGAGTATTTAGTAATTGCTCCCATGGAAAATTTAGGAACTCTCATGAAATTTTATTTTGATAGGAAAATTCCTGATTGTAGGATGTGTCGATGTATAATACATTATTTCTAAAATCTATAAACAATCATATCTTTGAAACAAAATGTACTACTGGCCATAAGTTAAGCAATCCACATTAAGGGAAGGGAAGGGGAAAGTCAAGGAACATATAGCAAGGACTCATGGACAAAACCAAAGGGGAAGAGCTGAGGGAGGGAAGGTGGGAGGGGGCAAGGGAAAGAGGTGGGGGGGAGGCAGAGACAAATGTATTTAAAAAGTAAATAAAAAAAATTTAAAAAAAAAAAAGTTGTGTAACCTCGGCGATACCTTTCAATAAAATGTTGGCTTTTAAGTTTCAGTTATTTTGACATCTTTTGTAGTTTCTTTGTTAATTCTCACATTGTCCAGTGTTATACACTTAGGTCTACTGCATGAAATCTTGAAACTTAAGGCAATCAGCAAATGCATTGGTTATATTTATACATAAATTTCATTGCTGTACTGAGCAGCTGTGTTTAAGGACAATAGAAAAAGATGACTGTGACGTGGAGAATTTGGACATAATAAGCTTAGGCCAGCCAATAATAATTGTTTCTTCTTAGGTGCTAGGTTAAAGTGAAGCTAAGTTTAGAGCCATTGCAACTGACTGAGTGCCTCGCTTGGTCTCCCGTGGTTGCTATAGCTAAGAAGTAACGGGCAGCAATATGTGCATATCATTTCTGAAGTTCTAAAAGGTATCCAATAGGGGAAAATCTAGTAAGAGAATAAGAAGAATTAAAAAGCAGAAGGGAGAAGAGATTCCATGTATGTCATGACATAACTTGGAGTTAGCACATTTACTATGCAGCTGGGCTCTCTCTGCTTCTGCCACAATGTTCACTAAGACCTTACTGAAAATGACCTCCAAGCTGTTCTGAGTTATTATTTAAGACTCTTTCATCTTGCCAACTCTCCTGCTCCTGTGCTGAAGCAAGCAGGACCATTGAGCCTGCTACTGAATGACCTTGAAAAGTGGTCCACACAATAACCTTAAGGCATTGGAAACTTTGAGCCAACTCCTCATACAGTACCACCTACTTCATCTCTTCCTTTCCCCCCGAGTGTGTGCATTGATCAGAGGACATAGATGCTGCGTTATCCATATTAATTTTTCCCCCCAAGTGCCTGCATGCCACTGTGTAAGTCTTTGCACAAAGTAAATAGGTGGTATGTGTTTTATGCATAAATTTTCTGGAAATCAGAAATGGAATGGGTTTCATTGCTAATATGTGGAGATTTGGATAATCCTTTTAAAGCATATATGCAGTGTTGTAGACCTCTTGGCATTTATTTTCTCTTTTTCTCTGTTACCTTCGATGAAATACCCCAAATCCTTAACCTGACTTGAACTACTTCTCTGCCTCACGCATTTGTGGAGAGTTTGGTCATTTCCTTCATGTGGCTGGTCTCTCCTGAGGTGATGGTGGGATTCTTTCTCTACCTGCCTCGGCATTCCTTTCTTTCTCACATTGTTTATTTGTGTATCTTGGTATTTCAAGACTGGTTGTCTCAATAGTTTTCAGGTTTGGTGAAAACTTCTGCCAGGGAAAGGTATGACCGTGGTGGGCTTGAATGGGGAGCAGGCTGAGATGCCCCCGTCACAGCGGTAGAAATCTGCAGGTCAGAACAGACATTCTTATTTCCAGAGCATTACTTGATCCCAGGATTCTAAGCCCACAGCATGTATATCCCCAAATAAGAAAGGGCATGCCAGCATTAAAACAAACAGAAAAGGCATTAGTCCAGTCTAAGCTTTCACTGCCCCAGGAGAATAATGCACATTTTTATAAGGCCAGTGTGTTTTTGTTCTAGAATTTAACTGTCCATTATATTTCTCAAAATTTGTACCACAGCAATATTATAAGTGAAGTGCCAGATGATAAAAACATTCCTATTTGGTTGACAAATATTAGAATGAAACTATATTTGTGGTTGAATCAAGAAAATTAGAAGTGTTTCATGTATTCTAGCTTTACATGCATCTTATAGAAACAATGTACATACTACTGTACAGTCCCTTGAAATCAGAATTTTAGAAAATTTTGATAAATATGTTTAATAAAATATATTGCATCTGTAAAATGTTGAGACTTAATAGTTATGTTTGTACCCAATAGTTTCAACTGGGTTTTGTTTCTTGAATGACGTATCTTCTGCTGAAAGCCCTATTTTTTTTTCAGCAGCCTCTAGTGTTTCATTCTTGACGTCACTGACATTTTAATGGGCAAATCGTGTAAATGTTATACACACGTAAAGGAAAATGAAGGGTGCCGCCCAATGTTTATCTTAAAGTGATTTTTAAAATGAAAATAATTTTAAATATATTTAAAATTAAAAAAAGTAGTGCCTCCTTATCTCCAGGGGATACATTACAAGACCCCCAAGGATGCCTGAAACCAAAGATATTTCGGATTCCTATGTGTACTGCATTTTTTCCCATACATACATACCTATGATGAAATTTAATATATAAGTTAGGCACAGTTAGAGATTAATAACTAATAATAAAATAGAACAAGTCTAACAATACACTGAAATAAAAGTATGTGACTGTGATCCTTCTCAATATCGTCTTGTACTGTACTCACCTTTTCACTTAAAGGAACCACATTAAGGCTTCTCTTTGGCATATCTGAATTGCCAGCATCCCTGCTTTTTCACTTTGGGGACATTAGATTAAGTAAAATAAGGGCTCCTTGGACACAAGTCCCGCGGTACTGTGGCAGGCAGCCTGCTAATGGAGATGGCCACCAGGCGGCTCACCTGCAGCGGGGAGACGCCAGACAAAAGGGTGACTCACGTCCCAGGAAGGGTGGACGGGGGTAGCTGGAGATTTCATCACAGCTGTTCAGAATTAAAAACTAACAAATTGTTTATTCCTGGAATTTTTCATTTAGTATTTTCACACTGTGGCTAATCAAAGATAAATGAAACTGAAGAAAGTCAAACTATGGATAAGGGCAGGCTACTGTAAATGGAATAATTCAGACTCTCCCTAACATAATGATGGGGTTGTAGTTTGAGAAATTCTTAGTTGAGAAGATCTCTGGATGTGTATTTTCTCTAAGAAACAATGAGCGCACAAATTTTGGTTTGGTTTTATGTGGTCCCTGAGCCAACCCTCAACATACCCATATATAGTAGTCATTGTAACCTTCAGGAACTATTCTTCCCATACATTTGTGGGTTAGCTGAGTTACATGAACTTACCCGCATGTGAAACAAAACCATTACTTCATTGGTGAAGGATACAATTATCTTAATGAACACATTCTTGGACAAAGCATGCCATTACTGGAGTTCCAACTTTCTAAAATATATAATGAACAGATTAACCAGGTCATTAATATTCTGGGTTGTCTCATCATCTTTCTAGGTTTGCTGTTGCTTATTTGTTTTATTTTATTTTTATAATATTCCCCATAATTCTATTTTACATTGCCAGTCTCATTAGTGTAAGCTTTTCTGCCTTTCTACCATCTTCCCCTTTCTGTTAACTTGGCTTTGTTTTGATTCTGCTGATTCTCTTCTTTCTCCCCCATCTTTGGGCATAGCCCAAAGAAACTTTTGGCTCTGTGTTGTTTACTGCTGTTACTCTCTGTGGATTTCAGGAATAAATGCTTTCCATTAAAAACAAAAAAATATAGACCCTGGCCGTGTAGCTTAGTTGGTTAGAACATTATCCCCATAGGCCAAGGTTGTGAGTTCGGTTCCCAGTCAGGGCACATACAATAAGCAACCAATGAATGCATAAGTAAGTGAAACAACAAATCAATGTTTCTCTCTCCCCCTCTCCCTCCCTGCGTCCCTCCCTCCTCTCCCTCTCCCTCCCTTCCTCTCTCTCTCTAAAAAATCAATAAATGAAAATTTAAAAAGTACAGTTATAATTCATTGGCTGTGTAGATTAGAACTCTTTACATAGATAAACTTATGTAACTTAAAAAGAAACAAACTATGTATTTACAGGAAACTAGCCCCTTACTTTAAAAGGTTAATATTCTGATTACCGTTAATTATGATTAGTATCAATGAAATGTAAAACTTGTGTGAAGACTTTTGTGTGCATTTTCTCCTTTAATATTCACACAAGATTATCGGATAGATTATATAACATAATCCCTGTTTTAAAGATAAAGAACTTGACGGGGGTGACTGGTATGGATAGCGACGTATAGACAAAGAATGCAGATTAAATTCGTAGTAAGTCAAAGCACTGTTATTTTGAACTACTATTTTGGAAACTTAAAAGCAACATTACAATATAGTAAATTAGACCCAGATAGACCTGAGTTTATATTATACCTTTCTCACTTATTACACATCTGACCTTGCACAGTGGCCTATCCCTCTGGGTTTTACTTTCTTATTATAGAAAATGATGATAACTAATCAGAGCATGTAGTCAGGAGAAAGGAATGTAAATCAAATGAGATACTACATGTAATACTCTTAGCACAGTGCCTGGTACATTACATGCAACCAATAATTACATACGTTATACTTGTTACTATTAGCTGTATCTCATTGGCTGATTTTTACTCATTCAGTTCTCTGTGGCATGAACCTTTATGTATGAAACTCTGAAGTGTGAAGATGTTAAAATATTCCCCTAAATTATTATTTTAATAATTCCGATTTTGTGTTCATTATCAAACTCCAGTAATTGACCTTACCTTAACAGAGTAGAAGAAGGAACATACTGCCACAAAGATGCACAGATCAAGCATTAGCCTTTTTTTTTTATAAAGAAATGGGAATGTCTGTGGAGTGGTACTTCCAATCAGCAGTCATTGAAATGTGAGCATCCATGTAAGATGGTCTTACCGCTGCATCCTGTGTGCTTCAGTTCCAGGGAAACCCCGGCTTCTGATTAGCCACACTCAGATGAATACTGCTCTCATTCAGTGGCATCCCCCTGTGGACACATTTGGACCTCTTCAGGGCTACCGTCTAAAATTTGGCCGGAAGGATATGGAGCCGCTCACTACTCTTGAGTTCTCTGAAAAAGAAGATCACTTCACAGCTACAGACATCCACAAAGGAGCATCCTATATCTTCAGGCTCTCAGCCAGAAACAAAGTGGGCTTCGGAGAGGAGATGGTGAAGGAGATTTCTGTTCCAGAAGAAGTCCCAACTGGATTCCCTCAAAGCCTCCACTCAGAAGGCACCACGTCCACCTCCGTCCAGTTGTCTTGGCAACCACCTGTCCTGGCAGAGAGAAACGGCATTATCACCAAGTATACCCTTCTGTATAGGGATATCAACATCCCTCTTCTTCCAATGGAGCAGCTTATTATTCCAGCTGACACCACTATGACACTCAGTGGCTTAAAACCAGATACCACATATGATGTAAAAGTACGTGCTCACACGAGCAAAGGGCCCGGGCCATATAGTCCCAGTGTCCAGTTCAGGACACTGCCTGTGGATCAAGGTAGGATTTGTCTGCTTATGGCCTTCCTCCTTTAAAGGAATATCGGTCTTTGGAAATCAATATTTTGAAGCTATAAATAACTGATCGACCCATTCATATTGATAGGTTCAGCAAAAGCAAAAAGGTAAAGTATATGAAACTTAATATGTTTTGGATGCATTAGATTTCAGTTATAGAATGCCAAGCAAGTCTGGTTGACAGCACCCCAATGTCCTCAGGTAAGGAAAATATAATATAGTTGACTGAATGGAGAGAAAGGAGAGATCTTTATGAAAATGATGTATTTAAATGAATGCTCGGAACAGGTAGGCAAATCACACTTCTCTCTCTGGTCAAAGCAGAAAGCATCTAGCTTAAACTCTATGGTCCGTGGTGTAAAAGGACAGGTCATGGTCTTTAGGAGTAGTTTAAATACACTGTTTTTCCTTTTCCAGCAGTGTTTGCAAAAAATTTTCATGTCAAAGCAGTAATGAAGACTTCAGTGCTACTGTCTTGGGAGATTCCAGAGAATTATAATTCTGCCATGCCTTTCAAAGTAAGTTGTTTTCTGACGTGTAAGAAGTCACAGGTAAAAGTGTAGGGGAGGGGCAGCTCAACTGCGTAAGTTGCCTACCAAGCCTGCAGGCTGCTCTGATTGTGGCACACGTATTTGCTAGTCTCGTTTGTGGCTTTCACATAATAGATTGAGCCTGGCACTTCGGCAGTGTGACCTTTCCACTCTGAAGAGGAGGCAGGAGCTCCAACACGGTGCTGGCATTACTTTGTAGGTCACTTAGTATTTCCAAGCTGAACTTTTAAGATCTAAGCTCATGTTTTTGCTTTTTCAACAGAAAATGAAACTTGTGTGGTTTCTACTTAAGTATAATGCAACAGACTTTAAAAAAATTTTTTATTGGCCTGAATTCTTTGCACATTTTAGACTCTAGTTGAGCGTTTAAACTCCGTTGAGAGGTAGTGAGAGATGCTAGCAAGAAGCACAGGTCTATGAAATAAAGAGTAGACGAACATTTTTTGAAAGTTAAATATATTTAGGGAGAGGAATGGAAACATTTAGAAAAAAGTGATATGTATAACACATTGTAAACCTGAAGCATTTCTGCACACATTCCATTTCTGCCACATACTACTGACAAGCCAAATATTGAAAAGTTATTTTGTATTTCTTTGTGTATTGTTGCTAGAGTTATAAACATTATATCATTACACGGTAAGAACTGTATGAAAAATTGATGCAATTTCTAGAATTTATGAATACTTATTGACTTAGGAATTTCTCAGAATTAGAATTGACCTGATAAGCATTTTCTATAAGCAAGTGCACATAAGTTTAGAAAATATACATTGCCTCTCTGATAACTAAATCTCTGCGTTTGATTATATTTCCCTAGATTCTCTATGATGATGGGAAAATGGTAGAAGAAGTGGACGGCCGAGCTACACAAAAGTTAATTGTCAACCTAAAGCCTGAAAAGTCATACTCATTTGTGCTGACAAATCGTGGAAACAGTGCTGGCGGGTTGCAACACAGGGTAACAGCAAAGACTGCGCCGGACGTACTACGTACCAAGCCTGCCTTCATTGGGAAGACCAACCTGGATGGCATGATTACTGTGCAACTGCCTGAAGTACCTGCAAATGAGAATATAAAGTAAGTTGACTGAAGAGTTAGCACTGAAGGAGATGGAAATGCCAGTAAGAAAACAGGAGTTAAATCTCAGTATTACAGAGTTATTAAAGAATATATTGCTGTGCACCGACTAATGATTCTTCTGCATAGGCTCAGAGTTTCGTTATTCAGTTTTTGTTACACTGTGTTCTGGCGTTCATTGTAATACAAATTCTCATTAATTTCACTCTTGAGTATTTTTTGAGTTCCAGGAAAAATGTCACTTAGAAAAGATAGAATGGCAAACAGAACATAGTCCTATATAAAGGAGTTTATGTCATAATATATAAAGTGAATAGCTGACTGACTCTAATAAGTGGCAGAATATCGTGGGGAAGTCTGACAAAGCACTATAAAGCTACAAGAACTTTGAGGAATTAGATAAGCAAAAACACTATGACACTGAAACTTTATACATGTACTCAGATAAAAATTTCAGAAGTTAAAGTTCAGAATGACATTGGAAAAAAAATATGTATTTTCAAAATTCAGGTTTTTCTTGATTAGACTGAGCACAATAAAACAGTCTATGGGCCTGCAATGGAAATCTAAATCTACTCAGTTAAGTAGTTTGTTGGTTATATATAGTTATTGGATTGTAGCCGAGAGAAGACATAGTCAGTATAATTGTTCATTGGTTATAACCAGTAGAAGAAAAAAAGTATTTTCACCGAAGTATATTAAGTATGAGTCCTGTGGTAGGCCCTGGAGAATAGAGAGGACATTATGCTGTCCTCAAAGAGCTTACCATCAAGTGGTGGATACAGAGAAATAGATGTAATAACATGTGTTAACGATAGTTATCCTGATGTTAAGAGCAGCCAAACCAGAACGGAGCGGGTCAAAGAGGTTTCTGAGTTTAATCTTGAGGGACAAATAAGAGGCATACATACATAAAATCAGAGTGAGTGATTAAATGCAAATGCCCATTAGTACAGGAAGCAAGTGATTCTGTAAGAGTGGAGCCCTGAATGCTCCTTCAAGCGTAGCAAGAGAGGAAGGCGATAGTCAATTCATGCTCAGAAGCTGGGACTATATTCTGTAGACAGTGAAAATCCATTAAAGGTTTTTATGTAGGAAAATGGCATGATGCCATTTGTATAATAACCAAGTTTCCCTTTTTCCATTTTAGGAAGTTTTTATTTAGTATCTACTATATGTTAGATGCTGTGTTCCCTGCTTGGGATAAGACTAGATCCTTTCTCATTTCTTCTATCTCACACAATCAAGTTTAGGTGAAATTTGATATGAAAGATTTGAAGGCCAAATAGAGGCATTTATACGTACAGGGGTGTGCAAAAGTAGGTTTACAGTTATGAGTACATGAAACATAGTTAATAAGCTACTGTAAAAAGCATAACCTGAATACCTTTTTCCATATGAACAATGGTAAACCTACTTTTGCCCACTGGTATACTTCGTAGACTCTTGGAGCCTTATGCACAGTGGCAAGCTGATGAAATTACTAAGACAGTTTTTAGGGAACACGGCACCTGAAGGTGTATGTTAATGGGAATTGGAGCAGCATAGAGGGAATTGTTGGGACGTTATCACCTAGTTAGGTGACATTAGGCAAGTAAAAAGATTCTGAAGATGGTGATGGTGGATCTATGCAGAGGCGCACCAGAGCAGTAGTGCACGCAGTAGGAATTAGAAGCTGTTTTAATGAAGAGATCCGTGCAGAGAAAACCTTCATACATGGCTCTGGGGTTTGAACGTGGATGTCAAAATGAGTGATGCTGCCATTTGCCCTAAAGGATAAAACAGAAAAATCAAGAGGAGATTAATGAATTTAATTTTGTCTATATTTTACATTGAGGTGTCAATGAAATATCTAATTAGAGATGTGGGCTTAAAGAAATTACTAGGATTAAGGATAGGCATTTGGGAATCATTAACAGAGCAGCAACAGTTTTATGAGGAGACAGAATCCACTGAAGACAATGAAGTGAAAGTACAAAGCAAAGGCTAACAGGAAAGATCTTGGTTCTTAGGAAGAAGGCAGCGAGTAGCGGGCATGGAGCAGAGCTTGTTAGAAGGTTAGGGGAGCTGAGTCAAGGCCTCAGTGAAGGAGTTTTTAAGAATATGGGTAGAGTAAGAAATTTTCAAAGCTCCAGAAAACTTGAAGAATAGGACTGAAAAACTCAGCTATGAAAAAGTAAAATTATAAAGAAGTAGTTTTTCATTTAGTGCCACTTGTGAAATTAGAGACTGTGATAAATTTGGCTACTTTAGACTCAGCCAAAAACCAATCTTTTCTGGAAAAACTTTCAGTTATTATTTATTTGATAAAATAATTGGAGGATTTCAACGAGATGATGGAATTTTCAAAAGATTATTACTAAACTAATTTCACTGAAAAATAAGGTCACTATTTTTGTTCACTCTTCTTTTTCTATTATTCCTAAAATTGAAAATGAGAATGAAATACTAGTGTAGTATTTATTCCAACAAAATTTAATATGAAGGTGAGGTTATATTTATCCATTGATTTGTCTAAATATTCTGGGGACATTTTTTGATCTCTCACCATAGCACCATGCAATGTTTCAGGGATTTAGTGAGAATAACACAGACGTTTTCATTGCTATTACACAACATAGTCAACTGGGGAGTTTGGACAAGTAAAAAATTAGTTGAAGTGGAGTCCTGTGATACCAAAGATTAGAGAAATAAGGAAGGCCACAGGAGGGGCTCCGAATCCCACTTTAGTAGTTGAGGGAAGGGGTTCTAGAGAAAGCAACCTATAAACTGAGGCTTAATGAATTACACGAAGTTAGCTGTTTCATGGAGTGGAGTTGGGGAGACATTGGCCTGGTAACTTAGTTAGTTAGAGCATTGACCCCATATGCCAAGGTTGTGGACGATTCCTGGTCAGGGCACATATAAGAAGCAAGGAAAGCATAAAGAAGTGGAACAACAAATTAAAATTTCTGTCTATCTGCCTTTCTCTCTCAAATTAAAGTAAGGACCGCTTATGTGATAGTGCATAAACAAAATAAAGACTAGCATTTATTTTTTGTCCATGTCTTATCCATCCACTGAGACTTTTTAGTTGTCATCCAATGAGCATATATTCTGCTCACACTCTATTCCCAGTGCTAGGACTGGGCATAGAGATGACTGAGGTAAAGCCTTACCTTACAGTGGGAGAACAAATACAGAAAATAGGTAACACGAATGTAATGAGAGAAGTACTGCCAGGTACTGTGGAATCCTAAATATGGAGTTTTAGCCCAACTTTGATATCAGGGCAAGTATCCAGAAGGAGCTAATATCTAAGCTCAGTTCGAAGGATGAAAAAGACTTAGAAGAGGTAAAATAGTTGCGAACAATGAAAGAACAGGGAAAAGATATGGACGCTAAATTCAACCCATTAAAACATGCACTGTCTGTTTAGAGAAAGAGCAGTTGAAAGATGAAAAGGGGATAGTATATTCTGTAGTAGTTTCTATTATTTTTCAAGATTTTATCTGTATTTAAAAATATTTTAGTAGATATTTACCAAATTGGCTTGGTAGAATGTGTTAGAGGTTATTGTTTCATTTTCCACCTTCTGAATCAATTGAGAATATTGGGGATTGTAGTCTATCATTTAGTATTTTTCTTTAGCTTGTTTAGATTTTCTCTCTGTTTACTTTATGTACGTCCTCCTCTTATATTTCAAGTGGGAATCATGGAAATGGGATAAGGGTTGGTAACAAAGAGAACAGATCATTACAAAACAGGGGGGGAAAGCAAGCAATTATGGAATAAACATGTGTTCAAGAAATGAATTAAGGTTCTCGAAAATGTAGCCTAGCCACTGTGGGGATAAGAAAAGAGCAAAAGGACCTGACTAGACACTTCTCCGAAGAGAACATACAGATGGCCAAAAGACATCTGAAAAGATGCTCAAAGTCACTAATAATCAGAGAAATGCAAATTAAAACCACAATGAGATATCCTGTCACACCTGTCAGAATGGCCAGCATCAATAAATCAACAAACAAGTGCTGGTGAGGATGTGGAGAAAGGGGGACCATTTTGCACTGTTGGTGGGAGTGCACATTGGTACAACCACGTGGAAACCGGTATGAAGATAACTCAAAAAATTAAAAATGCATCTGTCTTTTGACCCAGGAATCCCACTTATGAGAATATATCCAAAAAAACCCAAAACACTAATTCAAAAGAGCATATGCAGTCCTTTGTTCATTGCAGCATTATATACAATCATCAATATATGGAAGCAGCCCAAGTGTCCATCAATAGATGAGTGGATAAAATAACTATGGGACATTTATACAGTGGAATTCTACTCAGCTGTGAAAAGAAGAAAATTTTGGCCTTTGTAACAGTGTGGACTGACCTGGAGAACAGTGTGCTAAGTGAAATAAGCCAGCCAGAGAAAAATACCATATTATTTCACTCATATGTGGAATCTAGTAAACAAACTCAACTAACAAGGAGAATAGAGACAGACTCATAGATGGAGAGCAGATGACAGCTGAGGGCAGGGGAGTTGGTTAGGAGGTGGAGGGTTTGAGCAAAACGAAAAAGGACTTGTGGGCATGGACAAGTGTGGTGATTGCTGGAGAGAGGGGAGTATATGGGGACTAAATGGTAATGGAAGAAAATACAATCACGATTAAACAAAAATATGTAAAAGAAGAAAAGAGCAAAAAACTAAGTTAGAAAAGTACTTGAGTAGGAAGAGTATCAGAATCACAGGAAATGAAAAAGCAAATTTCCAGTTAGGAAACAACAACAAAAAACCTAGATGATTTATCTTTGGGCAAGTTACCCATCCTTTTTTCCAGGTTGGTTCCTGTGGTATGATCAGAAATTACAAGAATCTGTTTACCATGTCATACCGCTGGCAGTAATTGGCGAGGATAGAAATTAAAGAGGAATGTAGCTTTTTGTTTGTTATTTTATGGATGGAATGAGGGGAGGAAACAATTGATTCCAGAGCTGTGGTGTGGGTTGCTAACTTTTAT